CGGCATATCAAACAGTTTGGCTTCGATTCATGCTCTAGAAAGTCTTGCCACCCACCTGATGGGTACATGTCGGGCGATTCACAGGACATCTAGACGACTGGCGATTACATACATACATACAGAGTGACTACAATTCAGACCGAAACAAACCCCGGTTTGACTGCTTGTGGTCTTTGTCATCGTCCTCCCTGCATACGTACCCACGGACGACATCATCACCAAGAAAAACCATGCGCTCGATACCCACCCCACCTTGGTGCCATAATAGACATTATTATATGTAATCAACACGCCAGTACGGCCGCAATACAATAAGTATCCATCATACACAGGCCTGTGTCATGATTCTTAGCTCCCATCTAATTTTGCTACTGTCTATACCCTTTTTCGCTCGTCCACGTGGGCTGATCCATTGTCCGTGGTGTGCCTAAGTGGGCAGAAAAAACCTTAAAAAGACTATGCAGCTGCAGCCATGGCGCAGACAAACCGACCGCCGAGATTCCTGAAATCTTTCCCATTGGCTCTTTGAGTTATATACTCTCTACGTGGTCTGATTCGAGACATATTCTCAAACGTTTTCTCCCAAGAAGGACCATGGCAGCGGACATGAACGAACCACGTGTGACCGTGGTGAATAGGGTAATCCATGCGCAACCGCGGCTGCGAATTGCCTGGAAAACGTCAATGACGACAAGCACGGCATAGCTGTAAGCCGCGGTGGTAATCCTGCCACTGGTATCTGAAAAGTTTTTTTGGGCTTGTAGCTGAAGGGCAGAGGAGATGAGAAGCGCGGCTTGACCACCGAGTGGCCTTGCTCTTGGGCCAAGGGAAAAAAGTAAGCAACGATGAATAGCTGATGTATAAAACCATTTCACCGTGCTGAATTGCAATTGACGCGGGCAAAATACCTATTGCCGCGCTTGTCAATGATGCAACAATACCAGTGAACTCGGTCAGTTGACAACTCTGCAAACACGTTCTGCCGTCTCCCGTCTCCCGTCAAACGCCCATCAACACCGTCATCTCGGCTGGATTCCCTCTAGAAACACAATATCAAAACTTCTCAAGTATTACCCTGCAACGCATGTTCTCGCCGGACGACCAAGACTGACACAAAATTCTACGTTGCGTCTCGCCAAAGTACATCATCCGTGTGTGACTGTCCACCGACGACAGTTGGCCTGTGAGCCGCAAGTTTGCTACCCATTCTTCCGGCACGTCCATGACCAACAGTATAACTGTATCCTATATCGTTCTAATCTGACTGAGAGTAGAGTAGACCTGCCGACTATGCTACAGTCTGCAACAACCGTTTCAAAAATGCGCCCCACGATCCCAGTAGCCCGTCTTCTTCCGTTCCTCTGTGTCACGCTCTTCGTCACGCAGCTCGGCCTGTCGCTGAGCGACCTGCCCAGCGTGAAGCTGATGCAGGATATCGCGTGCAAGAAGCACCACGGCCTAGTGACGGAGGAGCTATTGCCAGAGGAGAAGTGCAGGGATGCCGCGGTGCAGAGAATCTTGAATCGGATAAACATTGGCAATTCAGTGTCGGTAACCATTGGAAGTATGTATCTTCCCCCCGGGCTTACCCCCCCTTTGTTCGAAATACTAGTCTTACTAATGAGGTTTTTGTTGTTTTGATTACTTCAGGCGCGCTGGTTGCGTTTCCGCTCGGAGTCCTCGCGGATCGAATTGGCCGCGTGCCCATCCTCGGGGCCAGCGTTGTCAGCCTCTTCCTCTCCCAGGGGTACGGAATGCTCGTCTGCTGGAGGTGGCAAGCGATGCCGCTGGAAGCCATGTGGGCTATGGGCGTCTTCTTCCTCCTCGGCGGAGGACAAAGAATGGCCGAGGCAATGGTCTTCACCATGGTGGCAGACGTGGCCCCCAGGTCGCAGAGGTAAAAACACTGCGCAAACATCGTGTCCCGGATGATACTGGCGCTCCGGCTGACTTGGGGTAGGGCTTCGTGGTTTCAATGGGTAGTTGGAGCGGTTCTTGCCGCCGAGCTCGCTGGTCCATTCCTATCCGCGCGTCTGCTCGAATCGTCTGTATGGCTTCCGCTGTACATTTCTCTCGCCCTCGTTGCCGTCGGCGGTGCTCTCCTCGCCCTATTGAGTCCCGAGACTCGTTGTACCAAGGCGGACAGCGTCAAAGAAGATGCTGACGGTGGCTCGCCGGAAACCGCCAAACGAACCATCATCGCGATATTCAGCCGCCCAGCCGTCTTCCTGGTCCCTGGTGCGGTGCTCTCGTTGCCAATGGCGGCAACCCAATCTGGCATACTGTTCCGATTCATGCCGGTACAGTTCAACTGGCAACTGTCAAAATCAGCTCTCTTAGTCTCCCTCCGCAGCATGATCACCCTGCTTACTCTCCTCCTTTTCCTCCCTGGAGCTGCATATATTTGCAACAAGAAAACATGCTGGTCACACGGATATCGCGACAGCATCTTTGTGAGAGCAAGTGCCCTTTTCTTCTTGGCTGGCTCGGCATTTTTGGTCGTGGTCCTCGACCAAGGATTCATTATTGCTGGCGTTGTGCTTTCTGCGCTTGGCTCCGGTATCCCAACACTCTGTAGATCTGTGATGGTTTCGGCCCTTCGAGAGAAAAGCACTGGTCTGCTTTTTGGCATGCTTGCTATCGGGGAAATCATTGGCTTTTTGTGCTGTACTGTAGCCATGGGTGCGTTATACGACGTCGCACTGACCTCGTGGATCGGGTACCCGTTCGTCCTGGGAGTAGTCCTTGCAGGTGCCGTCTTTATGACATCGTGGATGGCTGGTACATCCAAGGAAAAATATACGCCTGAGAAAGCTGCTGAGGTTTTGGAGCACCTGAAAAACTAGACGGAACCGGACTCAAGGTGCTGCAAGTTAAACCGTACATTCATATGGGTGGCTACCGAGGAACCCTCAGCGGGATTGCGAGCATACATCGGCTTTGAATGATTCAGAAAGTTTATCTCATAAGCAATAATCACTGACGAGGGAAAGCCATTTAGCCAGACTGTATTAGTATACTATTGGATTAATCATGGTCTTTGTAGGGGTATCAATTTCACCACCGTCATGTCACCTCGCCTGGCACAAAAGCCAAGCTCACATTCCTCATTCTTTCTTTTGCTCAGCCTCGGCCCGCTTCTCGAGATCGTGCTCCACGCCTCGCTGTTGAGCTTTGCCGTCGGCTCGCATTTGGTCGTAGTGGGCTTGTCCCTCCTTGTCACCAGTGATGTTGGAAATGGCACCTCCGACGGTACCCTGAGCACGAGCGGCCACGCCAGAGCCCAGGTCGCTGAGCTGACCTTTGGCCTCCTGTTGTTGACCCTCGAGGTTCTGTTCACGACCGGCGGACTTCAAATTCTGGACGAGGTCGTTAGTCGCCACGCAAGTTCAACAATACACATGTGTGGCCACCTTGTTTGCGTCAACTTACCTCACTGCCAACCAAGCCACCAACAGCCTCCTTGGCGGAGCCAACGGTCTGATTCCAGTTGCCTGCGGAGCGATCAGGGTGGTCCTTGCTGACGCCTCCGTCACTGGAAACAGTAGCTCCAGGGACCTTGACAGATGCCTGTGAAGCTTCATGCTCGACTTTGGCGTCATCTTTCTTGGCGTCGCCCTTGGCCTGGTCACCTGTGTTTCCGGTCAGGCTTCCAAGAGCACTCTGGACAGCCCCGGTAGCGGAGTCCACGTAGGACTGGAGGGTGGAAGGTGCCTTGTCAGACATGTTGATCAGAGTGAGTTGGCAAGAGTTGATGAAGATGAGAGAAGACACAAGTTGAACGATTCAAGATCTTTTGGCAAAGAAGCAGTGAAAAGTAAAGCTTTGTTGATGGAGCAGAATGAAGATTGGTCCGAAACTACGATGCGGTTGGAGCTGGTTCTTATAGATAAGACTGGTAACAAGCTAGGTTTGTGAAAGCAAGCGCAATCCCACTTTGAAGTAGCAAACAGGCCCCGCCAAGGAAGCCCCAATTTGACAGATGAAATGTCCCTTCCTATTATGTAGAACCGGATAGAAAAGAACCAATGGCGCAACTGCCTGTGATGTCATTGTCGCCTCTCGGGGTGCACGATAAACCGTCGTTCGGCAGGAGTGAGTGACCGAAGTGACCTGGAAGTTAGTTGGTAGGTTCATGGGTTGGTGGGGCGCCGTTAAAGTGACGTCACCACTCTCTCAGCGTCGCCAGCTGCTGGATGCTATTTGCCATGTGCAATTTTGACCGTGACGCGTCGCGAGCTGTTGCCGAGATCCAGGGAAACTGTAACTTTTGGCATGTGTGCCGCAATTGCCACAACTCGTCGTATCTTGGGCCCGGAGAGACCAGCCCACGTGGCTGGTGATCTACTTGGAGTGGACTGCCATTGACCTCTGTTTAGGACAATTGACTGAGCAATAACATTACCAGGCGTCACTAGGTGTCGAGGTAACCGCCCAGGGTAAATGAGAGCGCGGTCGAATGAATTGATTGATGCCTCTTGAGCCAGCCTGACTAGCCTTTCAAGCGGCCAGCCTCTTACTGTGCATCGTATTGAAGGACCACCTTGCCGTCCATCAAAGCTTTGTCCCAATTGAATCTTCGGCTTTCTTCATTCGAGAGTCGCTCTCCAGTCACCGGCGATGGGTGCTTGTAGCATTCTCATACATCTATACCCAAATATTTGGATGAACGAAATCAAGCTTGTTGTGGTTAGTTTTTTGGGTGGCTGTCCACGATGTGATGGCGATAAAGCCCGACACCATTATATTGCGACTCCTTGGCTCTATTCAGTCCCCAAGAATTGGTAATCCAAGTGGTAATTTATTATTCCCCCCTTTTCGATTACTCGAGCACCCTATGGATCTGCCCCAGTCTATACATCATGCACTGAAATCTTCTTTGACCCAAGTGCCAATAACCAACGAAGAAGCCACAGCTTGTAGAATACCCGCAACATGAATAATGAGTACGAGAAATTAGCCGAGCTGGACATAGTTGCCTAAACATTCCACCGTCGGGGTTAGAAGATGCGCAAAAGAAGAAGAAATACGTCACAGCTTTGCTTACCAGGGAACTGTCCCTCCTTTCCATTCAGACGTCCCGTCCACCACTCATTCTCATTCTGTGTCCTGGACACAATCTCAATAACATCACCGGCTCGGAAGCTCAAATCCCCCTCCGCTTGAGCAGCATAATCGTACATGGCTGTCACGGTCTCTGCTGCAGGTGCAGCTGTTAAGCGCTTTGGCTTTGGTTTAGGTGGTGGAGGCTTTGCCTTGGCCGCCGCGACCGTTGACAAGGCAGTCTTGTTTCCGGGGGAATATGGCGGGGGTGCGGCTTCGGAATCGCTGGCAGGTCGGCCGGGGGCACCACTCTTGGGGCTGGTACCACCGCTTGAGGTGGAAGGCCCAGCTGTCAACAGGCCTGGTTGCTTGCCGCCTTCGAGGGCTGGGCGAGCTCCGTATCTAATGGGCCGGGGACGTCCAGTGGTTTTGAATCGGCAGATTGACAAGGCCTCGGCTCGTTCTTGGATATCTCCACGCTTTTCCTCAAACGCCTCCTCGATTTCGCGAGTCAGGTCAAAGTAGCCAATATCACAGCGCTGCATTCGTTCATGAAGTGTGTAAAATATGTTGAGCTGCATGTAGTAGAAGGATTGGAACAGTGGCTGGATGAACTCTCGTTCCAGAGTGAAGAGCTTCGGCAACTCATCCTTTAAGAGGTCATTGAAGTATTCGTAGTCTTGTGTCGCTTGCTCGAAATCGCCCTCTGCTTTCCACAAGGCCTTCTCATCCTTTGGGCTGCGTTCCTTCTTGTCCTGCAACTTCTTGAGGGTGGCGCGATGCCGGTCGTAGTCCAGTTTCTTGTGTTCTCGCTTCACCGCCGTCTTTCGAATGACTTTGATGACGTCTAGCAGCTCGGTAGCTGGCCGGATGACCCTAGTCTCAATCATTTCCAGTTCCGGGGCAAGTGTCTCTTGCAACTCTTTGACAATGGCCTCGTACTCTTCGCAAGCGCGGATTCCTTCTGGATTTCCCTCGGGTTTGATGCTGTCGGGGTCTGACATGCGGCCAGAAATGGGCTTGTAGATTTCCGTCATGGCTTTGCTGAATTCTATCTGGTGGTTCAGCATGCCGTTGATGGCTTCGAAGTATTTTTTTGACTCATCGTGGAGCTTCTTGGTCTCAGTCTCGAGCTCTTGGAAACGGCGTTCGGCGTCGATGTAGACGGCATCTTTGGTGTGCTCGCCAATGTTGAACTTGTGTTTGAATTGTTGAGGCGCCTGTACATGTAGAAATAGCCGTCAGTAAAGATGCAGCCACGACAGCGTGGTGACCGACTTTGGTCTCCTCGGGCTGACATCATGATGCTCTTGGCTGGAGGGGCTGGGACGGAGATAGATGAGGGGCAGCATTGCTGACAAGACCTCTCAGTACAAACGTACCCGAGTAAGGCTCTTGGAAAAGCCCTTGAAACTCATGATGGAACAATGCGAGCCCTGTGCTCAATACGGGGATGGTTCACCACGACAAGAAGCCGCACACGCGCTCTATGGCGGGAGCCGGGAAGACGACGGGCGCGCTGGCTTTGAAGAGGAATTGAAGAACAATTGACGTCTGTCGGCGCAGCCAAGCCAGAGCAGGGCAGGATCATGACTTGGTGACGACTTTGCGGTGGCTGTGCCGATTGTTGTGGCGCAGGGAGCTGCCAGTTGGCTGCATTTGGCTGCTTGCGTTGTGCGTGCGGAGCAACATTCCGTGCTTGAACGCGGAAGGAGCCTGTCTGGTGGGAGGCGTCAGCAGCCAGGCGATCATCTGCCCCCCTGCAGCTCTAATAGCTCAGCGGCCGACCGTCCAACACACACGCCCCGACTGGTCCTGTCTCTCACACGGAGCGGAGTGCTCTCGTAGAGTGTGTATGAGTACATACAGAGTACCTCCGTAGAGGCCGCATGTTGGCTTGATCTTCACAGTGCGCACGTTGAGTGACTCCAATCGTGTGTGTGTCTTGTGTATCTCGTTTGACGGCCCGTCCGTCGTTGCACCGCCTTTGCCTCTTCCCAAGTAAATTTGATTCTGATGCACCATGAATGGTCTTATCGTCACTGCACTTGGATCGCCGACGTCACAGTCTTTACCCTCGTAATAATCCGGAGTCCTTGGTGTTGCATCCCCCATTGTTTTCCGCCATTCATCTCTGCACTCTTTGGTCAAGCCGTCGACGCCATGGGGCAAGCTTTTTGCACATTTTTGCAGGTGGCCGCCGTGCCCCCGGTCAATTTTGACCAATCAGAGGGCCCCTGAGGATGCTTATCACCGAGTACCCGAGCCGAAGCTCTGCCATGACAAATCTCTGGATGGAGATTTGGACGGGCTGCACCTGAAATACCTTTGCCTCTCCTCTCCGCTCGTCGGGCCTTGGCTTTCTGTCTTGCCCATGCCACTGCACACAACACACTCATCGCTATCATGTCCAGTTTAGCATCTTGCGCGCTACGCTCGGCGAGCCGCAAGGCTACAGCTACCGCCCCGTTGCGTGCTCTGCCTCGTGCTGCCCTGGTGGCCACGAGAGCGAAGCCTGCCAGACGGGGATATGTGACCGAGTCCAAGCAGGACCAGGCCCGCGTCGAAACCGCCATCAAGCTGGATAAAAAGGATTTCGTCGACATCCCTCCTCCGCCCATGGGCGCTCCTGCGGATGCCAAGGTCAGCCCTATGGCTGGTATGTGCGCCTCTGATGTGGCCTCGTTCGCCATCTCCCAGGCGCGCAATTTGATAGACTAACAATTTTTGCCTTCGCAGAGGTTCTAAAGCAAGCTGCCGTCATGGAAGAAGGACAACGACCAATCTACTTGGATATGCAGGCGACCACGCCTGTTGATCCCCGCGTCCTCGATGCCATGATTCCTTTCTATGTCGGCGTCTACGGGAACCCCCATTCTCGGACACACGCCTACGGCTGGGAGAGTGAAAAGGCTGTTGAGGTTGCTCGTGAGCACATCGCTTCGCTCATCGGCGCTGATCCCAAGGAAATTATTTTAACGTCGGGTGCCACTGAGAGCAATAACATGAGCATCAAGGGCGTTGCCAGATTCTTTGGTCGCTCTGGCAAAAAGAACCACATCATCACAACACAGACAGACCACAAGTGCGTCCTGGATAGTTGCAGGCACTTGCAGGACGAGGGCTTTGAAGTCACCTACCTGCCCGTCCAGAACAACGGACTGATCAAAATGGAGGACCTGGAGGCCGCTATCAAGCCCGAAACCGCCCTTGTCAGCATCATGGCTGTCAACAACGAGATTGGTGTTATCCAGCCCCTAGAAGAGATCGGCAAGCTATGCCGTTCCAAGAAAGTCTTCTTCCACACTGATGCCGCCCAGGCCGTGGGAAAGATTCCTCTAGACGTCAATGCTATGAACATTGATTTGATGTCGATTTCATCACACAAAATTTACGGCCCCAAGGGCATTGGAGCTTGCTACGTCCGAAGAAGACCAAGGGTCAGATTAGACCCTATCATTACTGGTGGTGGCCAGGAGCGTGGTCTCCGAAGCGGCACCCTCGCACCGGCATTGGTTGTCGGCTTCGGTGAGGCTTGTCGCATCGCCAAAGAAGAGATGGCGGTAAGTTTTTTTTTTTTTTTTTTTTTTTTTTTAAATATCACCCTCCTTCCCTGTACCTTGTCCTCGTCTCCGTATGCGCTTTATATGATGATCTGCTCTACATGCATGGCTTTCTGAATGGCCCGTGACAAGGCCGTTTGTGTTGAGTGAAGCACCCTGTCTGATTTGCGTTTTCATTTTTCCGTACTTTCAAAATGATCCAACCAAGACGTTCAAGACGGATGAGCAAGTAAAGCTGATGCTTTTTATAGTATGATTCGAAAAGAATCAAGGCTTTGTCCGACCGACTTCTTCATGGTCTCCTTTCCATGGAACACACCCAACAGAATGGCGACAAAAATGCCTTTTATCCTGGCTGTGTCAATGTCTCCTTTGCCTATGTCGAGGGCGAGTCTCTCCTCATGGCTCTGAAGGACATTGCCCTGTCTTCAGGCAGTGCGTGCACTTCGGCGTCCCTCGAACCTAGCTACGTCCTCCGAGCCCTTGGAAACAGCGACGAAAGTGCGCATAGCAGCATTCGATTTGGTATTGGTCGCTTCACCACTGAGGCCGAAATCGACTATGTTCTCAAGGCCGTTCAAGAGCGAGTCAGCTTTTTGCGAGAGTTGAGTCCCCTTTGGGAGTTGGTGCAAGAGGGTGTCGATCTCAATACCATCCAGTGGAGCCAGCATTAAAGGGAGGGCTCACGTTTGTGGATTATAGTTGGGTGGTCAAAGTGTGTACGAGATGATTGAAAGCGGGATTATTTGGAGTTGAGCAGGATGACTCTGGGCAGCGATGCCTTGTAACAGCATTGTATAACACGATACTTCGAAATTATGGGATACGGTACATGGGATAATCTTTACAGATAGCAAATTGTCTGTCGTTTATGTCGGAGAAGCATGACATGAGAAGCCCTCAAACTATATTGCGGGTTGATGCACATGGGATCTCATATCATGTCGATGTCCGTGATGTCAACGTTGCAGTGTGCCTGTGGAGTTTGGAACTAATTAGCTCCATTCGGCTGAACATAATATCTGCTGTTGGCAATCAACACATTAAATACGAGACGGCCAGGGTCCATCTATTGGCTACCATAACGCCCGGGTTGATGGCCCCTGGCCGGGGTCGCAATCGTGACAAATTATGTACGTGCCAAGACCAACAAACCAATGGTTTACAAGAATCAACTACCTTGAGCCAGTTTTCCTCACGTCTAGAAATACAATGACCGACTTGTTGACAGATGTGCAAACCCCACGTTTGTTGCTTCGGCCGCTGAAAACAAACAAATGCCCGAGAGAGCCAGGAACTCGAGTGGTTTCATAAAGTCTGGTCTAATGAACAGTCCACCAAATGGAGGTACGTTTTGACGTCAGTCTCTCTGTGCGCAGGTAAACTCATTGCCTTTCCAGTCCCCGCGGACCCTGTCAGGATGAAGCAGATAGCATGGCTTGGATGCGCGGCATCCTCTGCTCCCTAGAACCGGACTCGGAGCCGAAGCTCTCCTACGCAGTCTTGTATCCCTCTGGCGGTGGCAAGGGTGCATGTTCCCCCCGGCACGGCAGACGAGACGCCCTGGGAGGTGGCTCGCATCGTCACCCTGCTGCCTACCAATTTCGCCGCTTCCTCAGACGGCACGACGTCGTCAGACGCCCCCGGGAAGGGGCACAAGGCCATGGAGGTAGGGTACATATTCCCCACGGAGGCTTGGAGGCCGGCAGAGCTACGATGCTGTCCACTTTACGCGACGTGTCTGACCTGGGGTGGTGGTGTTGACGCTGGCAAAAAGCTGTTGAGGAGGAGAAAGAAGCAGCAACATCGACAAACACGTGTTGCTAATAAGCCCGCTTTGGGAGCATGCTGATAACAGGACCTGGCACACTTGGGATACAGGCAGTGCGGTAAGCCCCCGAGGATGTCCTTCTTTCTCTTTCTCCTCACCGGCTTCGCGGGGTGAAGATGAGCGGCAGCGGAGGTGATACCGGCGTAAAGGTGTCCTGTTTCCCCTCTAGGAAGGCCTCCTTTGTCTGGCCGGGCGCGATGCGAACATTGTACCGCCAGAAAAGTTCAGCTACCACGCGGCGAATCTCCATGAGTGCCAGTCTTTTGCCGACGCATGCACTCGTCCCTTGTTCCTCACTGTGTTAGCCGGTGGGAATGGAGCTAGTCTTTTAGGAGGGAGATCGGGTTGTACCTATGTTAAATGGTATAAATGCAGACTTATCGAGGATCAAGTCTGGTCGCGTGGTCCAGCGCTCGGGGATAAAGTCGTTTGGCTGTGCAAAGCAGCGGGCATCTGCGAGTCGAGTCGGGGCGAATACAGCTCGAGACACAAAGGGAGAAGAAGGGGGGAAGATGACTAACCTCTGAAGACGGTGTAGGAGGGAACCTGAACAATGGTGTTTCCAGGAATATGTCTCTCGCCGATAGGCAACCCTTCTGGAGGCGTCATGCGCTGCGTCCCCGAAGGGACTGCGGGATGCAGGCGCATCGTCTCGCTGATGACGGCATCCAGCAAGGGAACCTTGAGTAGATTGTCATGTGCCAAGCTAGGTAGCACGTCGAGCTCTCTGTGAAGCGCGTGGGCGAGCTGGAAAAAGACGTGCGTCATCGTGGTAGAGACGGATTCACTGCCCGCAATGACGATCAGCTGCGCATCGCCGTGCAAGTCCCGCCGATCCTGCTGCGTCTTGCTGCCGCGGTTGAAGTCGGCCAGAAGAAATGAGAATATGTCGGTCAGAAACAAAACTAGTCTTTATGGCTACTGGGCCTCACTTGACACCTACCTTTGGTTGTAAGAGCCAGCTCCCACGTCTTTCGCCTACGGGCATGCTCCCGCCTGTCGCGTACCATGAAGACGGGCGTGCGTGGTTCCAGCAGAGTGTACCATGGGCCTTTGGTAGTCGGTGACGGAGGCTTGCAGTCTGGACAATATATAATCCTCGGACGGCACGGCACGCAATTCAATGCATCCAATGCATGTCGTCCAGAGTGAGAGCATTTTGTGCGACTGTACTCCGTATGCGAAAATTCCAAGATGGCCCTACGGTGAAGGCCATGGGCATGCGGCATGAAGTAACTCTGCAATACTTGACACGGGAGCCCGAGGAGAATTCATTGTACTTATTCTTCAACGTGTAGGATGCCTTGAAAGAAGCGAAAATACAGCATATAGGCCCGGGTCTTGCATGGCCCGTTGTCCAGGTATCCGACTTGAGACAAAGTTGGTTGCCGGTTTGGTGGTGACTGACGACAGAGAGTGCAATGTGCCACACAACACATGGTGTAGCTAGAACTCACCTAGGTAGGTATGGACGTATGTCTTGTCTTGGTGATATCCCAGTTGCTATATACTATTGAGTATTGACTCCATCTATTCTCCATCTAGTTACTCCGTCGTTCACTTGTAGTTACTCCATACGACATCATCTGCCTTCAACCCGTCCACCAGGAGCACAGCACATGGTAGTTACATACTTCTGCAAGGCGCACAATTATCCCAAAATGACTTCGGTGCCACCTCCCGGAAACGACATGGACCCCATACACCTCACGGGCGCACAGGAAACGCTTCTCATTACCCTGTACGGGAGATGGCAAGACTTCTACTCGCCCAGGCCGCTCCTCGCCGATCGCTGGTCCGCACAAGTCATGGCACGAATTCTGGACAAGGCAGCCGAAACACGCCATCGGATGAGGGGAGTGCTGTCGGGTCTCCCACTCATGGTATTGCGCGCCCGTCTCTTGGATGAATGGGCTGCCGAGTTCCTGGCCAACAACGAGCACGCAACCGTTGTCCATCTTGCCTGCGGCCTTGATGCGCGCGCCTTGCGACTACGTGACGGGTGCGGCGACGGCGTGAAATGGATCGACGTTGACTTTCCGGATGTGATTGACTTGCGGCGCCGCATCGAGATGCCAGAGCCGGCGTCCACCACCGACGGGTACACGTACGAAATGGTCGCGTCCTCAGTCGTTGAAACCGAATGGCTGGCCAAGTTGCCGACGGGAAACCCTACGCTCGTCATCTTCGAAGGCCTGACCATGTATTTGTCGCCCGACGACGGCCAACTCTTGATCAAGCGGCTGATGGACCGGTTCGGCTCCGGCCAGATGATTTTCGACAGCATGCCGAGATCAACTCGATTTTTACTAAATGCCTTTCTTTGGCTTAAGGGATGCTGGAATTTTACCTTTGACTGGGCAATCGACGACCCCGGAACCCTGCAGGAGTTGCACCCCGGGTTGGAGCTGTTGACCTTGGTTCGTATATGGGACATGCCTGGCCATGAGCGTTTGGCTTGGTGGATGCGACTCGCGGCCTTTGTCGCTTCTTGGATACCGATTCTGAGGAGCCTGATGCAAGTAACGAGGTTCCAATTCCAAATGAAAAGGTAATCTAGTAGTAAATATAGGTTTCGCTCATGAATTATACTGGCAGTTGGTCGTTTCATCTTGGCGAGGCTGTTGCTGGCTTTTGCTTGGCACACAAAAAAAGGGTACTTGGTTCTCCGACTTCTGCAGTCATTCCGCTCGTAAAGGTGAGAGAGTTTTGGCACTGTTCACATGGAATTGACATGCGGTGAAGTGCACAAGATGATGAGTGGACACAAATTATATCACAATTACAGTTTCTAAGCCAGTACACGATGTCTTCAAACAGTCCTGGTAAAACAACGGTTGCCATTCAATGCCATGAAGCCACGTGCTTTTACACCCTACTTTTCTGCTTTAGCCTATACCTCTGACACAATCGTTCTGTGACCGTCATCATGCTTGGACGTGTTTCATACACGTACAGTGTCAACATTGACAACGGATGTGAGGGAAGCATGAGTCCTTGGTGCTGCTCCTTTGGTTCTGTAAAGCTACAAGCACGATGAGAATTCAGCGTGAATCATATAGACCGTGTACATAAAGAGACCGCACCTTTCAGAGGTTGGCCTCTCCACAGGACTATTACATTCCTCCTGCGTTTGCGACATGAGGTCCTCAAGGTTTTGGGTTAAAAACGAGATTGATGAATTATTTGAGGAAGCTCCCATTTCGTCACTGGAGTTTGATCTGTCGATATACCGCATTCACACCCTTCAGTGATGATGTAGGATGGGGGAGGAGACAACTTATATAGTGGATGAAAAATATTGCTGAAATACACATTTGTTGAAGACCAACATGATGCACAACATTTGGTTATAGTACCAACACATAGTGCTATAACAAGAAATATAGAGCATTCAACGACGCCTCTAGCATTTTGCTTGATGTGTAACCCAGAGCACCACCGGATTGGCTCGGGCCCAACGCCGAGCCCGATTCCCAACCGATGAAGCGTTGGCTGACGGGCTCAATGCATGCGCATTTTGGAGAGCCAATGAGGCCGGCGGGGGAAGGAGGTGACGGCTGAATGTGCCATGTTCAGCTGAAATACCCTTGGCTGATATTAGCAGTCATGTTGATGAGACGCACGATCACATCACTCCCGGAAACACGTCCGACAGGAAACTTTACTCCCTGCTCCATATATGATGAGTCGCAGCGTGATGTGAAGCACGTATGCTCCGTGACAAATGTTAACTGTTTATCACCACATATGCACGAGAGCACATGCATTAGAACACCTTGTGCTGTAGGCATGGAGCATTCTGGCCAACATGGATACTTGTACCAGCGCAGGTTAAGAAAAAAGCAATACAGAACTCGTTTGCGAGCTTGGGCGCTTGACAAGAAGGCGAATTATACAGCATTTTCAAAATCCAACAGAGATGACGCCTAGAGGAGGCTATTTCTACTAAAGACATGTATATAGATGCTCTTGGTCTCCCGGCTTTTCTTGAGGAAAAAATACTGAAGAGTTTTGCGCATGAGCATGATCAAGTTTCGTAGAGTGCTTAGCTGAAAGGCTCATTTTCTAATGCAAATTTGCGTCTCTGATATAATGCAATGGGTGTACGCGAAATACAACGAGGCAACGACGCCTTGCGCCAACATGTCACACCCAGCCAGAAAATAAGCCCCCAGATATGCGTAAATCATTTATTGTGTACGTAGCTTGCAGGTTACTCATCTAATCCCGTTGAGGAACCCTTGACTGCTGAGTTTTCTCATCTTACTCGGCTGTCTTTGAGCTGCGCACGGCATATGCTTGTTTCTCAGCGTTTCCACAGACCAACATGATGAAATATCTATACAGCTCTCTGCCTTTTATCCGCCAGATTTCAGAAAACCAAACAATCACGGCACCAACCGCCGGGCCTTGTTTGTCACCACGAGGCCTCCATGGTTCTGAAAGCCGTCTCATGTCACCACCACTGTCTACATAAACACAACATGATACAGGTCCAAGAATTTATCTTCATCACTGGCTTGAATCCGATTCAGGCACTTCAACACAAGTCAAGACGATGAGAAATACGAAACATCACAATTAGATGCTACAGCGCATATCTAATAAGAATTTTGTGCCGAGGCTATATAAGTAAAACATGTCTTGGCTAGGTACATTCCCTGAGCACAATCCCAGACTCGACGGGAGAGAAACATCAAAATATGATATACTATAATGTCGCTTCTGATGAAACCACTCATGGCCAGCCTGCCCGCCATTGGATGGGTGCGAAGAATCGCTGGTCCAATCAAAGCACTGCCAGTGGTTCGGAAGAAAGAAAAGAAATGGATTAAGATGTTGTTGAATCAGAGCTCCAAATATCAACAATCATGGCACGCTTCCGCCAACCGAAGAGTGTTGATCAGGGGTACCGTAGCAAAACAATGAAATGCTAAACACGCTGAAGTCGTTCTAGTCCTCAATCTCAAACGGGAGCATGAAAATGAGAACTCTCTCTTTTTTTTTCTACCATGGCAACTTGGTCTTGGTCGGGCAAGCCTTCTTGGTGGTGGTGACGGTCACAGGAGGCTTCTTGGTGCAGGTAGGAGTAGGCGTGCAGTGCTTGCTGTCAATGGCGGTGACGGTGACGGTTGAAGCAGCCGGGCATGTGTCACTGGCCGGGGGAGCAGCAGACGTTGTAGGAGGAACAGCAGACGTCGCCGGAGGAGCTTGAGACGATGTTGCAGGGGGAGCAGCGCTGGTCTCGGGAGGAGCAGCAGAGGAAGATGGAGGAGCGGCCGAGGTAGCAGGGGGAGCAGCAGAAGAAGTCGCGGGAGGCGCGCCGGAATTCTTGCAGTTGGCCGGGCTGACGGCATCCTGAGCATCCTGGAGGTCCTTGAGAAGACCGGCGACGATGCCCTGGGCAATGCCTTGGGCGGCGGGAGGGACCTTGGACACAACGCTGTCGATCAGGGCCTTGGAGGCAGTGTTGATGTCACTGGTCTGGGTGAATGTGACGTCGCACATGCCGGCCTTCTCAATGGAAGGCACGGCAGCCTTGAGATCTGCCAGGAGGGCGTCGCCCTTCTTCTGGAGATCGCCGGCCGGGGCTTGAAGGCCAAGCGCATCGGACAGCGTCAGGTCGCCCGAGGGGTCGACCTTGGCCTTGCCGTCCTTCAAGGCCTGGATAAGAGAGTTTGAAGCGGCCAGCACGGGGGCCGGGTCGCCGGAGAAGCCCTTGATGCCTTGTCAAACCGTCGATGCCTTGTCCGGCAGACGTCATGGCAGCTTGGATCGTGGCCAGATCACGCTGGACCAGCACGCCGGCATAGGCACCAGAGGCCAGAGTAGTCAAGGCGAGGAACTTCATTGTGGGAAATTTTGGCTTGGATCTTCAAGTTGGAACGGAAGTTGGTCAGGGAGGCAGAAGGAGAATGATGGTGCTGATACTCCAAGTGTTTCAATTTCGAAAGCTGAAGAACCCAAGGCTGCCTCTTTATACCCGGGAAACTGAACCCCATGCCTTCTCAGATGCTCCTCACAGGAGTCCTAAAGTCGGTTTGTTGAAACGGATGATGAATCGACCAAGATGACGACGGGGCGTCAAAGTTGGATGTTCCTGAAATCATGGAGACTTCAATGTTCGACTTGGGCCGACTTGACCCCAGACCCCAGATTGTGGCGTCGGCCATTCGTTTCGTATTGATGGCCAAAACGCCGCGCGGGACATGTGCTCGATCCAATAAAGATCTCGACCCTCGCTTGCCTTGGTATGGCGGCTCGATTCCCCGGATTTGCCTCGACCGTTGAGCATGTTGGGGAAACCTTGCAGAAGTGGCGCTCAGCTCTCCGGGCAAAGAGGGGACACATCCTTTGTCAAGTCATGTTTTGTCGAGTTGAGCAAGGTTCCAGGATGTTTTGGCCTATGTGAAAGTCGTCCTACGCCGCGTTGACAATCACCTCGGCGCACATGCGCACACATGATGGTGGGTGCAATTTTGTACGACAACAAGTTGGCACCAGCTGAGAGGTGTTCGAATCGAGGTCTTGTTGCGAAACTATCCTGCCCGAGCTATTATTGGCATGCTTGCTAGCCTTGTTAGTTCATCGTGTTGTGTTGGGTTGTGTTATCCCCGTGGGTTAGGTTGCAAACTGTCTTACTTGGCCGACGGATGTGCCCGGGACAAACCACGATTCCCCCTCCCGCGATGAATTAGCCCTTTGTCATCAAGAGTTGCCGTAAAACAGCCTCAAACGAAAGAGTGATTAGTGCGAACTAGTCTCGGTGCGAGTATCCGGCACCGGGTGAGTTGTCGAGCAACACTGACCACCGCATTATTAGTCTTTTTAACTAGACTTGTGAGAACGAATCCTCGCCTTCTTCTCTCGCCCCCTTTGTCGTGACATGACTTGTATCCAACAGTTAGTTTCCACACCGACCCAATAAATAGCCATCTGCCCTTTCCCACGAGTTCCACCACCCCCTGAACTGGTGGAACCTTTTCCCATCCTGGCTGTCCCTGGGCCTTGCACCTCCGGATTTCTCGGGGCCTCCCGACGCAAAACTTTCTAAGTTCTCGGTTGGAAAAGTCTGGTGGCTGGCACAAGGGCCACTCTTCCCTGTCAGCCAGCCATGAACGTCCACGGCTAAGTAACACCGTACAGGCAATTTACAGGCCGATTTCACTGACAAAAGATGGGAACTGATAAAAAAGAGGAATTTTCTTGACATGGTTGAATCCTTATCGCCGCCCTTTGTGTCGTTACCTCAGCCAAAGAGTGTTGTCTACAAACACATGCATGATAGTTGCGACCGGCTTGCTGATCGGCGACAACACACAACATGCCAAGCTTTGGTGCTCCAGAACAAGTGCTTTGGTTTTGTTCATTTTTTCTCATTTCTCACCCGCGGTGCGGTCGCTGCTGCATCTATTCCATCCTTTGCGTTGTGACCTACAACACAAATACAGTGGGAGGCAAAAGCATTTGACCAGGTCAGGTACTGGCTATCGTGCTCCATACCATGATACACTACTCTACTGTTGTGTATAACTACTTGTTGAGAAAATACATTCCGCCATGGACTGTGAATCAAGTGTTGAGTCTTGAGCAATGATGGTTTGTTGGGTTTGGCGTTGTCGGCAAATCAGAGTAAGACACTACATAACTATGTACTTGGCCTAATACAGCGAGATACATGTCAATTGATGCAGAGGCACTAGTACTCCAAATCAATCGAGTGTGGACTACTCTGTACCGTGTCGGAAGTCGTCGTCGTTTGATTTCGTACTTTCTGACCATCCTTGCCAACCTTCCGCTGCTTCGCATTTGAATCCCTCGTGCCGTACCGCCTCGTCCTCCGGCCCAGTCGACACAAAGGCAGCCCAACATTCATGTGTCTGCGCCGTCTCCGCTCCGTCTCGGCCAACACTTGATGATGCGTCAACATGGCAGTGACGCCGAGAGGAGAGAGAGCGACTTGACAATAGACGCCGCGCCACCACCTGCTGCAGACGACGAAACGCCCGTCCTGTGCGACTTTGGCCAGGATGTCAAAGTCCACAGGGCCTTTGAAGAGGTGGCGCGCGCCAAACGCGGCTTGAAGCAGCGGCACATCCAGATGATAGCTCTCGCCGGGACGATTGGCACAGGGCTCTTCCTGGCAACCGGCAGGGCCCTCGCCAACGGAGGGCCGTTGGGCCTGGTCCTGTCGTATGGAATCGTCGGCATGCTCATGTGCGCCGTTGTCGTGTCCATAGCCGAGCTGAGTGCCCTCGTTCCTCTGTCAGGCGGCATCGTTCGCCATGCCGAGTGGTTTGTCGATCCGGCCCTGGCCTTTGCCCAGGGCTGGAATAGCACCTACGCAAACGCCATCCTGCTGCCTGCTGAAATGGTTGCGTGCGCAGTCATTATAGACTACTGGACGCACATCAACCATGCCGTGTGGGTTACCGTCCTCGGCGGACTCTTGATCCTGAGCAACATGCTTCTCATTGGCGTCTACGGCGAGCTCGAGTTCATCTTTGCCATGCTGAAAATTGCTCTCATCATCGGCGTCAACCTCATGGTTCGTGTGGGCTCTGGCAAGTCATGTTGTCCCGTGGCTGACTGCTGACGTCTTGGCGGCCCAGAGCATTTGCATCACGGCCGGCGCAGGGCCGCATGGCGAGCCCATTGGCTTTCGCTTCTGGAGGCGCCCGGGACCGTTTGTCCAGTATGCCGGCATTCCCGGCTCCTGGGGCCAGTTTGTCGGGTTTTGGCGAGTCCTGGTCAGCGCGGCGTACGCCTTCTCCAATGTCGAGAACATATCCGTTGCCGGAGCAGAAACGCAGAACCCGCGGCGGAACATCCCCCGGGCTGCCAAGCGTGTATTCTGGAGAATCATGGTGTTCTACATGCTCACTGTTTTCTGCATCGGACTCATCGTCTCATCCGCCGACCCTGCCTTGACGGCGCGCTCAGGCGATGCCGGTGCGTCGCCCTTTGCCATCGCGGCCACCAACGCCGGCATCAAGGCCGTGCCGTCCATCATCAACGCCGTGGTTGTAACAAGTGCCTGGAGCGCGGCCAACTCTGGTAAGTCCTGCGGCTACTCCACGATATCGGAACCGGTTGAAACGACTTACACACCTTGGTAGCCATGCTCGTGGGGACCCGAACCCTCTATGGCCTTTCCCTTGAGGGACATGCGCCCAAGGTTTTCAAGCGTACCAACCGCTTCGGCACGCCGTGGCTTTCCGTGACGGCTGTGGGATCGCTCATGGTGCTGGGGTATCTGACGCTCTCATCCGCAGCGTCCGTAGTCTTCGATTGGATGCAAGCTCTCGTTTCGGCGGCCTCGTTTGTGCACTGGATCAACATCGAGATTGTATACCTCCGTTTCTACTACGGGTGCAAAGCACAAGGAATCAGCCGAGACGAGCTTCCCTGGAAAGGCCCCCTCCAGCCGTATGCAGCATGGGTTGCCCTGGTGTCATTTACCATTCTCTTGATTACCGGCGGATTCTTCGTCTTCATCGACGGCCATTGGAGCGCTCAGAGTTTTGTATCATCGTACTTTAACATCCCCCTCATTCTCGTCCTGTACTTTGGATACAAACACTGGCGCAGGACAACGCTGGTGTCGCTGCACGATATGCCTATTCGAGGGTTCCTGGATGTTGCAAGCCGGAACCCAGAGCCTGTCGAACCACCTGCCAAGGGATGGGCGAGGCTCAACATTCTGTGGGCGTAATGTTTCCGAATATGGTAGTCCATCTACATTTTGTAGGTTCATGTTTTGTGATGATTGACCCCTGACATCGTTTGGTACGTGCGATCAGGACTTGGACACCTTATACAGTCATACCAAAATGATTAGCTCAATAGGCTGTGTTGTTTGTAGTTAGATGGCAGCCTTTTGACTTGAAACATGATTTCCGTCATCGTCACCCTTCCTTACGAGTGTAAATTATAATATACACACCGAGATGGCGTGGGCCACGCAATTTTTTGTGCAAGCGTTCTTAGGTGACTCTCTATACATCATGCGGATAGGCACAATCAGCGACGACTTCCAACTACACATCAAGTCTTCAAGAACTGGCACATGGTGTTGGGATATTAGCAGTGTGCGTTCCTGCTCCCACGATGCCTTCCTCCCATCTGGATACAACTGGAGTGGTTTGCAGGGGGCTCTGTGGATGCCATGTATTGAACGCCCTTGGACCTCAATTTGAGATACTAATACCTAATAGCGTAATTTCGATGTTTTATCCACAATGGTTGGATGGATTCTCATGATGCCCGAGGAATGTACTGGATCGCTAACCCACATGCTAGCCGGAGTCGCCCGATCTTGAATAAATGGCGGTCGCACACAGGTAACCATGACTGCTTGGTCAATCGCAGTCCATGTACATCAAAAGCTGCAGTGGCAATCTTTCCCAGGGATCCAGGCTGTGCTTCTGTCTGCACTGGCCTCGTCAATCGACAAGATTCAATGCTGCGGACCTGCGGACCGACCGGAATATCGACCTGCCTAAATAGGAAGTCAGAGCGGCATGACGTATCCGAGAGCTGACAAGGCTGCGGGGTCCGAAATTGCGGACTCGGTGGTTTCCGAGACGGCCACCTCTTTTCGCAATGAGAAAGAATTCGAGCGAGCCGTGAGAATTTTGCTTGACTTGGGGACTCTGAGTCCTGATCAGTGCCAATCATGTCACTGACGCAATAACAACGCGCGAGCTCATCGTGCTGAGGAATGCGTAAAACACGGAAAGTGGACCGGCCAACGCCTCCATGGACGTTGAGGATGATCGTCATCGCATCCGCATCCAGGCCACGCTAAGAGAGCCAGTTGCGTCGTAGCTAACCGGGAACCTCTAGGATTTTTGGCCAGTTGCCAGGTTGCCAGGGGCATCGTGTAGTCGAGGAACATGGTGGCAATATTCGTCTTGTTTTCTGGAAGAATTCCAAATGGTCATTAATTAGTTAGCAAGCAACGGGAACTGTAATCAAACGCCGGGGTGCTAGCCAATCGAGTGAGAAAAAAACAAGGGGTTGAAATGACGGATTAGATTGCACAACTGGAATTGCCCATCGGTTAATGCCGAACACGACGGCTCGATAAAAAAAACTACAGAAGTTCCCCATCCCCCGAACAGGAAAGACCAAAGATCATCCACCCGAGGACCTATCGCGAGCCCAGCTACCTACCATGATGCCAGCCTTTTGCACAACCTCCCCCACAGCGAGGCACAACGCCGTCCATAGCTCGACGCGGCTGGGGTTGGCTCAATGTTGTTGTACCCGCCGGCTTGTAGCACCCGGGTCTGAGACAGTCCAGGGCAGGGCACTCGCTGTATAAGAAAGATTGGCCGCCTTCACCCTCTTTGACTCCCTCCCCCATACCTTGACGATTGTCAGCTTTGGGCAAAACAGGGGCAGTTTGAAAGATGCGTTGGGTATTTGCCGCTTCCATTGTTGCCTCCGTGGCTGCCGGTGTCTCGGCCCGCGCCGGCCAAGCCATCCGAAACTCGAACGGGAGATATATGAATGTCTCTCCCCGAGCCAGAGCTCACCCGGGAGTGCCCTTTGACAAGTGGACGCGAGACGGCCCTGTTGCCAACAAGTTTGAGAATGCCAACACCCAGAGTATGCCAACAGTCACCCTCTTGAGCCTGTCCGATAAAAAGTAAAAAAGAGAATGCTAATTGGGACACGAATTACAGAATACATGGTCAACGGAACGGGCATTCCCGATGTCGACTTTGACATTGGCGAGGCCTATGCCGGCCAAATGTCCATCTCCAAAGACTTGGACGGGCCAGACAAATTCTACTTTTGGTTCCAACCGTCCCCAAACCCCGACGCCGACAAGGAGATTGTCATTTGGCTCAACGGCGGCGTAAGTAGTCGTCTTTTTGTCCTCCCTGGCGCCTGTCGACTCGTCCGCCGCCCACGCGTTCCGAGGCTGATTCTCGATCAACTATATACAGCCGGGCTGTTCGTCCCTCGAAGGCTTCATCCAAGAAAACGGCCCTTTTCTGTGGCAGTATGGCACTTACAGACCTGTTCCCAACCCGTGGGGATGGCACCACCTCACCAACGTGCTCTGGGTTGAGCAGCCCATCAACACGGGCTTCTCAACCGGCACGGTCACGGCCCAAGATGAGGAAGACGTTGCCCGTCAATTCATGGGCTTTTTCAAGAACTTTGTCGACACCTTTTCCATGCAGGGGTACAAGGTGTACATTACGGGCGAATCATATGCGTAAGGGAAAAAAACCCCAGTGACTAGCACTCAGATGTTCAGGGTCTGAAGTATATTGTATATATATATATCTAACCAATTTCCAAGCGGCATGTACTGCCCGTACATTGCCAACGCCATGATCAAGGCCAACGACACCAAGTACTTTGACATGAAGGGCATGCTCATCTACGACCCGTCCATCACCGACGACCGCGTCACCGAGCTCACGCTCGTACCCTTCGTCGACTACCACCACAACTTGTTCCCGTTCAACGACTCCTTCACCAAGCAGATCCACGACATCGACAACAGGTGCGGCTACGCCGATGCTCGCAGCAAGCACCTCCGCTACCCGCCGCCGGGCCACCTCCCGAACCCTCTGCCCGGCATCGACCCCGGAACCGGCACGCCTCGACCAGAGTGCCGCGACCACCTGCTTGCCAACAGCATCCAGCAGGCCATCACAGACTTGAACCCCTGCTTCGACATCTACCAGGTAGCCACAACCTGCCCCCTGCTGTGGGACGTCCTCGGCTTCCCCGGCAGCTTCGACTACCTGCCCAAGGGCGCCTCCATCTACTTCGACCGCCACGACGTCAAGAAGGCCATCAACGCGCCCCTGGACAGACAATGGGCATCTTGCGGCGGCCCCGTCTTCGTCCATGACGACGACAAGTCCCCGCCTTCCAGCACCACCGTCCTCGGCAATGTCATCGACAAGACCAAAAATGTCATCATTGGCCACGGCGCCCTCGACTTTATCCTCCTTGCCAATGGCACGCTTATGGCTATTCAAAACATGACCTTTGGCGGCAAGCTTGGCTTTCAAAAGCCGCCTGTTGAGCCCTTCTATGTTCCGTATCACACGACCGGTGAGCCTGGAACCATTGCTGGGGCAGGCGTCTTTGGGACTACTCACACAGAGCGTGGCCTCACGTATGTTGGCGTCTCCCTGGCCGGCCACATGGTTCCGCAGTATGCTCCCAGCGCCGCTTTCCGTCACTTGGAGTTCTTGCTTGGCCGTGCAGGTTCGCTTAGCAGCAAGCGGCCGTTCAGCACCGATCCCAAGGTCCCTCAACCTGATGGATCTCTAGGAAGGGGTACCGCGCCACCAGGCTACAATTGACCCGAGTCAGTGCAAGAAGAAGCGCACTGTTTAGTGCGCTGAATGATGGGGATAATCAGAAGCTGTGTTCCGGCGTGTATTGTGAAATATTGTCCATAGTAACTTGTGTACATATAGACTATTCTCGCCAATGTCACAAAGGATGTGGTACGTGAGATGCCAGTTCTGTGTCATGTTGCCTCCTGAATCACTTCATAAAATACCGCAACGGTCCATATTGCGAAAATAGGATTCCATATTATCGTATAATGGTGTATGTGCGCCGAGCACCAAGGCAGAACTCATGCTTTGCCAATCAATTCGCTCATATTCCGCAGCCCCCCAAAACAACCCATGCTGGATATCATAGACCAACTCCGATGTAAATGCTTCATTCCGCAGTGCCCGAAATAAGTGTTTCCAATTCCCGTGGACTAAGTGTACTTCGTCTCCTTGACGCCGCCTTGCCGACCTTGCGATCTCGTTTTCTCTTCTCCGGCTTGTCAGTCTCCCCTGATGGTGCCCGAGGCTGCTTCACAGGGTCGCCATCCATTGCCACTTCGCGTTCAGTGCTGGCTTGCATTTGCACATCAGCCACTGCTGCATCGTTCTTTATTGGTTTTGGCATAGTCGGCCTTGACACGCCCCTTGTTGAGCTCCGCGCCGCGCGCAATTTGGCCCGTACGCGAGCAGAATCTGCCTCCTTCTCAGACGCTGCCAGCTTCGCGGCGATGTTCGATATTGTTAGAGGACTCTGCTGTGGCCTTGACTCAGCAGTACGTGGTAGGATTGGTTGAGCTGCAACACGGCTTTCAACTCGTCGCTGTGCCGAAGTTGTTGGACATACTCCTGTTTCTCCAGGTTCTTTGTCGTCTTCGGAAAACTCCCCAGGAACCTCAAGTTCCTCCCGCTGCACGGTCTCGGCTTCTCGTTTTGGAAGGAGTGCATCATCTAATGACGTCCTTGAAGGAGATCGAGGACGCTCTACCGATTTCTGGATCTTGCTAGGCAACATGGACTGTCGTGCAAGTGACCTGGGCCGGACTGGCAACGATCTCATCGACTTTGGCTCCGACGTTCTATCCTGGCCGGCCTCGTCCCCAACTCCACTCGGTTCGCTGGAAAGTGACTGCATCTTCTCGCTATGCGGAAAACCGCGGTTCCCAGCCGAACTCGAATTGCGAAGAGGACTTAGCTGTGGAGGCTCAGGCAAAGGTATGGATTCCGAGGAGTCATCCAAGCGTTGGCGATCCGGCTCCGGCCCAGAGCCATCTGACATGCCATAATGGGCTGTAGTCGCGAGAAGCTCATCGTCTGGGGCGCCGTCTTCATAATCCGTCATCTCGATTTCATAGTCCTCCTCTACCCGGTCATATCCTTCGCCAGGAGGTTCGAATATTGGGCGATTGCCATCACGATCGGCTGGACAAGGAGAGCGCATGAAACCCTCTGCTTCCTCCTCCGACTCTTCCTTGACAACGGATAGTCCCATGACGGCGTCTCTTGTTTCCTCAACATCGCTGACACGGACGGGGCTTAATCGCAAGCCCATCTGCAGTTCCTCGTCACAGACAGATTTGCCACTAGCAGCCATTCTCTTTCGCCATCCGTCGATGAGATGCACTGCGTCCTTCCACCGGGTTTCCATCTTCACCCATCCAGTCTTGAGCCGGTTGATCTCGTCCTCTCTAACCATGACTTCCTCGATAGGTACGAATGATGGATTGGTCAATATCGTTCTCATATGAGCCATGATCGAGTCCAACTCAGCTGCAATATCTTCGCAGCTCGGCCGCTTAACCACCTCGGTGTCTCCCTTGCTCTCTTCTGTGCAGCCGCTCATGTCACGTAGTTGTGCCATGGCTCGCTGCATCACACCAAGTAACGTGTCATTTTCTTCGGTCAGGTGTTGCGCCAAGTTGGAAAGCATTGTATTTGTTTCGCTTCGCAGCTCGTTGTCTTGGCCGAGCAAGCTCCCGTCAAGAGTCGTCCTGTCCCTTTCTTGGCCGGTCTCGCCAGTCACTGTGATTATTGTCACAGCCGGATTGCCCCTAGAGCCTCGCGAACGGCCAGCTTCTCCCAACTGTTTCTTCAAGGTGTCTATCTGTCGGTCGCGCCTCCGGATTTCTGTGGCACATGAAGCGCGAGACTGAGCGACGAGTGACTTCATTCGCGCCACGTCTTCTTTCAGTGCCCTGGCGTTGGCCTCTGCAGACTTGAGCTGCGTCTTCAGCATCGTCTCTGTTGCTGTTGCAATGTCGGCCCTGCGCTGTGCCTCTGCATGTTTTTCAGTCAGACGAGCGGTATCACTCGTGAGCTTCAAGTTTTCGGCACGCAAGGCGCGCATGGCAGTGGAAAGAGATTCTCGGTGTTCGGCATCGCGCTGCACATGTCGTTAGCTGACCAGTTTGTGCATTGTGGCAGGAAGTACAGCATACGTCGCGTCGAATGATCAAATCATTCAAAATGCTGATAATGCGTCCCGAGAGGGCTGCGCTATCCTCGCTACATTTCCCTGCGCTTGCAAAGTCGATTGTGTCGCCATCGCGTAGCAATCCTCGTGAGAGAAGCTGGTTGTTGATGTACAGCGACGCTGTACGGAGGTTTTCTGCGTCGATCATGGCAGCTGTTCAGAGAAAAAATTTTGAATTCAGTTTCCAAATACCATGATGCCACAAACAGGTTTTGCAAGACCGTTTCTTCAGCTGGCTGTGATGCAAGACGAATTCAATGGCTCCAAAAGGGTCCCGTGCAACGAACATGGTGTTTGGTTGCTATGTGGCGGCAAGTAAACAATAGCAGTGAGCCATGCTTACTAACCACCTCATTACTAGGGTGTCCGTAATATTTGGACCTAGGACTAGGCGCATTGTTAAATTGAGCAATACAATTGATTTATTGACTTATTATTTATGCCTATGTATATATTTTTATTGATTTGGCCCATATATGCACATGCTCTGAAGTGACGGCGCGACTCTAACTTCCTGCACCGTGAATGCTTTCTTCATGATTCCATTTATGTTGCTGAAACACTACATCCGCTGGCTAAGTAGGGATGTTGGGTTTGTGAAGCTGTGCAGACTCTATGCCAATGTCTCATGAAGCTTTGGTACTGCATATGCAAATAATCAATGTGGATTGACTAAAGGCAGTGGTAGCACGCAGACAACTGGTGTACGCTTGATGGGGACCACAGGCTTGAACCCCGGGTATGCACGAGTAAAGCTTCCAACGCAGCTCGGAACACGACTTGAGATCCTATAATGAGTGTTAGTTTGCTGATACGTTGCCATCATCTGGTTTCAGTAGGACACAGTGAAGCGATATCGTCTTCAGACGAGGTTGAGAAGATTGTTTATAACGCGGTTGTTTTCGGCATCCGCCAAATGACAGACCTGAACAAGTTCAGATCATTTTGGCGCTTTGATGGCCCCGCGGCGTCATCATGCTAGGAAATGGATAATACGACAGGATAACAAAAGAACTGCACATACGTTGATGGGAATTGGCCTGATCACACTGAAGCATTTCAGGTCTCCGGCTTGAACTTGCCACGTTTCTCTCGCATAGCGTCAACTTTTCGTCTGTCTTCTTGAAATCGTCGAAGAAGGGCTGCTTGTTCCTTCTTGCGCTCCTCACGGAGCTGGAAGCGGTAAAAGTTCTTCAACTCAGATTTCTTCTTGGCAGCCTTTTCTAGCATCCGCTGCTTAGCCTCTTCAGCTTCGCCGCGGCTGGCGGGTGCCGCCCTTCCGCTCCTTGTAACAGTGACAAAGCCATCCTCGTCGGGTTCATTTCGAAGCCGTTTGGCCAATTCAATAGCCTCCTTCTCCTTGCGGTTGTATGCGTTGAAGAAGGCGTGGACAGCCGCTTGTGTGGCAGATTTATCAACTCGTGAGAGCTGTAGATGCTTTGATACCCACGACGATCCTAGCTCTGGAACTTCGTCTGCCATATTTCCCCCCCATACAGGATATTTTTCGCTCTTTTGGACTTTTGCAATCGCCTTAAGCACCAAACGGACGCTCCTCTCATCGGCAAGTAAAACCACCGCGGTGCAACTGCTCCTGTGCAATTGTCTTGTCCATATCTGCGGCAACTGGGAGGCTTGTTCTTCCAGTTCCCGCTCTTCAGCCTCGACGTCTTTCATTTTTCGTTTCCTTGCAAAGCCCTGCATCCTTGTTGCTTGAGCTGGGTCAACAGGCAAGGCAGTTGTGGCTTCATCATCGAAGAAAATGGTCTCGAAGCGGCCAGCGCCTACGAGATTTGTGAACACTGCTCTGAAGTGAGGTTCGGTGCTATCGGCTGGAATATTCTTCAAGAAGAGACTTCGGGAGTCGTTTGCGGTAGGTATCTTTGGCGTATTTCGGCGAATGCGAACTTCGTGGACAGCGCTATGAGGGAAGGAAGGCATAGGAGGCATGCGAATCGGCAAAACGGCGAACTGGTCGCTTGATGCGTCACTGGAAGCCATCATGAGAAACCGAGTGTCTAGCTCGCAAGATCAGCAATTGCGGCTAGGATGCGAGTTTCGCAGCAGATGCAGATGCAGACCCGACACGATGTCGAGGACATTAGTCTGCTAGGAAGGGAAAAAAAAATCGGGCCCCACCTGACATCTTCGATTACTACGGAGCTACTGTTACTACTCACACTGTACTCCGTACATGAGATCATTTCAAAGTAACATTTCGAGAGTTGTAAAATAGATGTGATTTTGTTAAATCAATGCTAATTTCAGTTAGATAAAATTTTATAGATACCAAGATGTTTCTATTGCTGCGTTATACTTCCGTAATGGGGTGCCGGAGTCAATCAGCTCGACCAAGAATCGTAGCACACAATGCGAGCATTTCCGTCAAACTGGGCTGCCGCCAAACCTTCGAGGGTAGGTTAACAAGAAGTAGAAAACTAAGTCCCCGAAAGAGTTTCTGGATAAAATTTCTAATATCTCAGCGTAACATGTAGAAGACGCGAGTCCGACGTTGCGATCATACCATATTACGAAACCTGAAGTGGTCATTAGATGCAGTTAAACGCTAGTACTCCGTAGTGAGTACGGAGTTTAATATAAGCGTAGCCAGTCTTGTAACTAACCGATATGAACCGAATAATGCGTAGAAAATAATATACTTGCATCAGAGTTGGACACGTAGTTTGCCTCATATCTGGACCTTTTTTTTTCCGCCTTTGGCGGATACTCGAGATGTTGTTTTCTCAGAACCAGTCAGCCATATGATCGTGCCTGGCAGCCATAGCTCTCCCGGCGCTAGTCTGGAACACGTCTTTTTTTGACGTCAGCCGCGCACACCTTGACTGGCCAAAGCTCAATCCAGTCTCTGGCAGCTCCCGCAATCGCCAACATCACCAGCTTGACCGGACTTGCTGCACCGTTTCTGTTAGTTATGAAGGCAATTATTGCAATACCGGCGACTCTCGCCCTTATTCTACGAGCTTGGAGCAAGAATTCTCTTACGCCCGCTGGCATTTTCGCCGCGACGCTCACGGCGATTGCTCATGCGTACCATCCGTGGAATCTGCCCTTTGCGCTGTTGTGCGTGTTCTTCCTGGCAGGCACACGAGTGACACATGTATGGACTGCCTTTCCTGGTGAATTCACGACTCTGGGTGCTAACGCGATGAGCAGATCAAAGAAAATGTCAAAGCTACGTTGACTCTGCACTCCAAGGGCAGCTCGGGCGGAGAAGGCCCAAGAACACACGTCCAAGGCATGGTGATGCGCCCGCATTCCGAGTCTAGAGCACAGGGTTACTAATATGCGGGTGTATAGTGTTTGCAAATTCGTTAATGGCATCGATACTTACGGTTGCCCACGGATATCAACTTCGAGCCAGAGCTGCGGCATACGCTGACCCGAATACCCCCAACCCCAAAGGCAGCATGTGCTACTCATGGGGCGGCGACCTCTTGGTTGTGGGTATCATTGCCAACTACGCGGCTGTGGCCGCTGATACATTCAGCTCAGAGCTGGGCATTCTGTCCAAGAGCGAGCCGAGATTGATAACGTCTTTGACGCTACGGAAGGTACCCCGGGGAACAAACGGAGGTGTCACGCTACTTGGACTGGCGGCCGGCCTCTTTGGGTCAATGGTCATAGTGGCCGCTTCAATGGTATTCCTACCTGCATGCACTCCTGAAACGGCACCAACCCCCGGCGGCGGTGCGCCCTGGACCCTGGCCCAGAGACGGATGTTTATGGGTGGCCTCGTAATCTGGGGTGCATTAGGGAGCGTCCTCGACAGCTTCCTCGGAGGCATACTCCAACGATCAGTCAGGGATGTACGATCTGGCAAGATTGTCGAAGGCGAGGGTGGTAACCGTGTGCTGGTATCTGCAACAAGCCGTGCTGCACCAGAAGCTGCTGCGGACGGTGGAGATGGGGGCAAGGCTGGAGCAGGTAAGCAAGATGGCTCCGTCATTGACGACCAAGATGAGGACGATGCCAAGTACAACCTCTATAATAAGCATCGAAAGCCCAGCTTCGGGGACCAACGGCCGTCAAGGGTCATTGAGAGCGGATGGGATCTTTTGGATAACAACGACGTCAACTTTCTCATGGCGGCTACCATGAGCGTGGGGGCTATGGGCGTGGCCAGCTGGTACTGGGGGGTACCTGCCGAGTCGATATTGAGTCCTTGAGATGGAACACCAGGAGGCTACATATTGACTAAGTCACCTCTACATACGGGCGCGCGTCTATATTAGGAAGCCATGTTCATCTAGAAGACTTGTGGAAGGATAGCGTGGGATATCCAGATGCATGCGAGTGCAGCGTTTATGGTACAGGAGGTGGCGGCAGAGTAGACAGACTTAGGATCTGGGGAAATCTGGTACCTGGACGTTTAGCCTTCGACTCACAGACGGGGGGTGGGTGTGTTCCGAACATCGGAAGCAACGGATAAGGTCGAGCTTGAATTTGAACGACTTTGCCCGCCTTGGCTCATCTCTTCAGCCCGATTCTGCCGAATCCTTTGGATGACAACCTTAGACAGACACCACCTTGTTAGGGAACCAATTAAGCATTTCTCCCTAGAGGTAGAACGAGATAATAGCCGCCTGATCGAGTTTCACCGACAGCCCGAGCCGAGATACTTGGCGCCTGACACACGAGCTCCATTGTGTGTGTATGTACCAGTCAGACTACGTACATAGTTTGGCAGTGAAGCACATGTTAGAAACTTCACAAACGCTGCTGACTACCGAAAAATAACGTGGACAAATCACATCACAGGTCAAATAGACTTATCAGTTGCCAGCCGGAGGGTCCCCAAGGCTCCGCAACGTGTCTGGTCGCATGTTAGCTCCTCAAGATCCCTTCGGTCCGGAATCGGGAGAGCCAAAGAGTTGAAAAATTTGGGGGAGGGGAAGAAAATAGCGTTGGGTGAAGAATCCTCCTCCTCTTAGATTGCTTGTATTTACAACCTGCATCGTCAAAGATTGGGGAAGGACGCATTTGCCAATTGAAGTGGCTGGAAATCAGGAGCTGTCTGTCATTCTGTGTTGTAATACGGATAGGACCAATGGATCTACACTAAAAAAAGCGTAAAGTGGAGGGGCTATCATTCTCTGGGGCGGGCAGAAAACAGGGTCTGGCCCAATGGAGGGGTGCCATATTATCGTTTATGTATCGAGGGGGGACGCGTATCAATTGTGTTCAGTGCCCTTTTCCCTTTGCAGATCGGGAATGCGCGAGGCACGGCTGGTCGGCGAATCTACAAGCACCACTAGAAGCGTTTGAAGATGCCGTCCAGCGCTCTAGGGCGGGTAACTTAGAAAAGAGATATGTAAAAAACTCATTTTGTCAATGGAACTGTCTCAAGCGATTTATTTCACCGCAAAGGGGGGCGGTCAATCGGGCTCTTGATGCCGAGACAAGACAAGAAGCTATGCCATGTATATTCCTAGTGTCACCCATCACAACGCGATGCATCATGAAAAAAAAAAGCCGCAACAAAATGCAGGGCATCAATGGTTCAAACTAAAGAAGCAAAGGAAAAAAATCCTGGGAACATCTGGCTTCCTAAGTCGCGCTGCATGAAGAGTGACTTGTGTTGTGTGGTGATGTGAAACCCACGATCGGGTCGCAGTAGCATGGAACGAGAATAGGACCACGTTTTCGTCAACCCGCGATGCTCCGAGGAGACCCGTTTTGCATCAACTATGCTTGAGCGATTTCGGGGGGTTCTTGCACACAGCTTAACAAAAAAAGCGCCAAAATTCGACAAAACACACAGACAATATCAAACGCTTAAGCTCACGCAAGTGCGCCTTTGTACTGTAATCCGGGACATGGGGATGATGTGCTTTTTAAGCGAATCAGCGTCCGACGATAAGGTGTTGACTTGAGCTTGGAGCGAAGCCAGGGGCCTGGCCTGGCTGGGGTTCAGTGGCGACGACAATGAAGCCAAATGGTTGGGAAAAAAGACGAGGAAAAAAGCCCGAAATAATAAGGATAGACGTGGTCGTTTCCGACAGGCCGAGCTTTGAGAAGGACTCAGTGTGCAAGTTGGATGATGGAAGAGGTGAAGAAGCGCGGTTGCAAGGTTCATGTATTTACATGGAATGTAGGTCTGGGACGCGCCTCCCCGGATTGCCTAGGCTGCCGAGGTAACGGTGTCTCATGGTGTGGTTTTAGCCCTGATGCGTACGAGGACTCAAATCGGCCGCTGGGCTAAGCGGAAGGAATGGAGGAGCAAAAGGGTTAACTACCTAGGTAGTGGCATCTGCTCTCACATGCCCAATGAAGAATGAATGACATGTGCGGGAGCGCCCAGAGCCCCAGAGCCAAGTGTCGTGTGCCGCCGTTCTGGGCCAAGACGGGCTCTGTTCCGCCCCGGGGATGGAAGTTGTCGAGGTCCTTGCAATCCCCGGCTTTTGCTGGCCGGGCTGGGGGACTTGTCTCCGGACATGCCCGGGCGTTGATGCAAGGCAATAAAATGGAACATTCGGTGCTTGCCGCGAATCGTTTCGAGGGCTGCCGGGTCGACGCAGGTTGCACCGAGAGAGGGCGCGGTATAGGAACGTAGTGTACGGAGCACTTCATATTGGCAGGAATAATGTCCGCGTTCGACCTGAATCTGGATGATGGCGAAGAGTGGCACATGTACACCGTCTGGTGACAGCCAAGACATGTAGAGGTTGACAACTTGAAACTGTGAGGCCGCGCGCCACGATGCCCAGCCTCCCAAGACCAGCCAAGGTTTGGGGGGGGGGGGGGGGGGCTTCAAATGTTTGTATTATGGCTCATTTATGGGGACCCTCCACGCCCATGAGTAATATATCAAAAATAGCATTGCATGTGTTGCCGACCAATACACGTTCAAAACGGAGCGCACAGCCTCACCAAGGCGTCACGTTGGGCGTCAATTACTGTGGCCAGACGGCATGCCCCCTCCAAACGTCCGCAAGGTCAGCCTACAGGCGCGCATTCAGCGCCCCCCACCGCCACAGGTGCCGCTCGCTCACCTGGCCGGCAATTCCTTGTCCACATATATTGACGATGCTACACGGCCGGGTACCTGGGAAGCGGCCGTCCAGAAACGACCAGTCAAGGGAGGTGATTTACATTGCACAGCAGTACGGAGTACTTCGGCAGACCAATTACGAAAATACAGGGAAGTGAGGTCAGTCCGTTTGGATTCAAAGCCCATGACGGCTGCCGTGCAGTGTTTGATTTGGACTACGCAATAATCTGGCAGACTCTGGAAAACCGGTTTGAGGCGCATCTATTGTTGATGACTGGTCAGTGTACTCCGTAAGCGGCCACAGTAGGTACAGCGGGGGGCGTGGGTATTCCTCTCTTTCCCCATGTCAACTGGTCCGTTTTGTGATACCCCAACAATGACGACTAAACTCATTCCATGACCCGAGTCCCTTTGGCCATGTTGCATTTTGAGCGTAAGACAAATTTTAAAGGAACAAAATTGCTTCACGATGGCCAGAGCACTGCATCAATAGTGCCCATCAATGTGACACCTTTGGGCCAGTCTGACTCTTGGCACAGGAAAAAAAGAGCATCTGGGAGCAAAACGGCGGTCCACGGCGACCCCGCCATTTGCTTAAAACGTCAACAAAAAAGCACGTGCATGTACCGGCCGGCTAATACTGTGAGCAAGGTACATACTCCACCGTAACTCTCTCTGTTAGAGGCAAAATGGAAGTCGTTCCAACGGTGGTCGGTGTAATATGGTAGGTGACGTCTGGTCTTGTGGCACACAAGCCCCGGCCCCGACCCTGCACATAAGCTTCAAGCAGTCTGGTGGCCGGTCTGGTCACTGCGACAACACAACATGCCCCGGCCGCACACTAATGGTTACCACCAAATCCTTGATGCAGGCGGCATGTATGTAAGTTTGCTTTTAAGTGTAAATGGGTGACCTATTAGTTATATCGTGCAACATGTAAACCTGTCGGATAGCAGCGCATTTGCACGGATCAGCTTGGCCTACGTCGTCGATGTTGTTTGTGCCATGGTCCAGGTGACCCGTCCATGTCTCTCTGCTTGATATCCCAGGTGCCGTCTGGGCCCTTGGTTTACGCGCGCCGCCGCTACCCGCGAATGCCCTGTAGTGTCCATTCTGTAGCGTCCTGTGGAAGCCCACGGCAAATCCTAGCAAACTGTTAGCAAATAGTACCGTGGAAGGGCGTGCAGGCGTGTGTCATGGACCCATGGGCCTGTTACGAGTCATAGAGCGAAGACAGTGTCGCGTTTTGTTGGAGACGAATGACTGACTGTTGCCAGGGCCTTGGCTTCACGATTTGACCGTGACGGTGGGCGGTTTGGAGCATGCGTTGCACATACAGTACACTGCATCTCACTTGGCATAATATCAATTGTAATAGCGTTAGCACGACTGGTCAGAGATGATTTTCGCCGACCACTTGTATTCGCCTGATAACCCGAGGCCGTTCGGGGTGGCTTCTTTTCCCCAGACCATCTATCCATCTGATGCGGTCTGCGGAACAGTCTAGAGGTCAACTTCCATGTTGCGTGTCTTGTTGACAGCGCGCCACGCCGCGAAGCGTTTCAGGGCTTTTCAGGGCTTTCAGGGCTGTGAGTGCGCCAAGGGCTGGACGATTGCAGCCAGCGCGCCACTGAGTCTTTGACGGAACTTGACGAGTCCCCACTGCCCCTCCGTTCGCAGGGAAGCACCCAGGTACTGTACCCTGGGGCAAAGTACCCCAAGTACTCCGATCCCAACAGTGCATGTACGACGCAGCTAGTCCCGTCGCCTTCTCCGAGAGCAGGTTCCGGGTGTGTCCCAGGCGCCTCCCAGGCTTTCCCCCCCGTTGTGGGGCCTCCCAGTTATGGACAAAGGCCAATGACACGGTCCAGTTTGGTGGAATCTTTGGGGCTTGTTGCGGCGAACACACGGCGGCGCCCACTCATGGCTCAGCACCGGAACCAGCGACCAAGCCATTGCGCCCTTGTAGCTTTCCTTATCTATACCTCGTCGCAAGTCACTCGCCGTTGCAGGCGCTTCGTGGTCAACTGGCGCCCCCCGCGACCTGCCTAGTCCTTTTGAGGGGAGGGGGGTGTGGATAAACTCTTTGCATTACGGAGCACTTAAAATGGTTTCCTGCGATACCGACGTCTGGACGGTCGCCTTCGTTCGTTGGCTCGTTGCGCCTGGATACATAAAAGACTCGGCCGCCCCAGGTTTTGGCGATTTCAGTAACACCCGTCCGAATTAATCCATCCCACATTACGTTGTGTTTGCAGCTCCCCCTGATACCCAGCTGTATTTGACCTTTGCTACACAAAGGCATTTAATCGATTTTTTTTGGGCGTTGTTGCTCTGCTTCTTCTTACACACCACCCACAAAACACCGCAACTATGGTAAGTTTGTCTGTCGCCCAAGTGCTGCCGCTCTGCCTCGCTTTCGTCCAATAGGAGCGCTCCCAGAAACCCTGCATGCAGGCACAAAACACCACTCCAGATCAAGTTTGCTAACTGCGCTGCTACTATCAGGCGAACCGAGAAGTCTTGTCCTCCCGAACGGAGACTGTACGTTTTTTCTTGGACCCTCAAAGCCGAACTGCAAATATGCTGACCGCCTGACCTTATCCAGCTCAACAAATACCTGAAGCTCGACCAGAAGGGCTCCATCATGGCCGAATACGTCTGGGTCGATGCCAACGGCGAGACTCGATCAAAATCGAGGGTGAGTTCAAGCCCCAGCGACCCCGGTCAATCAATGACAACTATCCTCCGCCTCCCTTCTCTCTGGCCAACCCCTGCCTGCAATCTTTGCCTGCACACGACACAAATGCCCATGTGGCTTGCCCGATCCCGATCTGTTCCGTCAGCATTTTGGATTTTCCATTTTTCTCTGGGCGGCGGCGTGGAATCGCGGCGCTGTGAGTGGCTGTTTTCGGGTCACACAAGGCCGAGACGGGGCGCGCTTTGTCGAGTCTTGAGGAGTCTGAGCTCAGCCACACGCCTGGCGTTGCGGCGAAGCAGGCGACCCTGCCCTCCCCAGCCACGCTCAGAATAGAAAGCCACCCCGCATCAGCGTCACCCCGAGACGGTCCCACTGGCACCGGCCGAGCGGACCAATCGGTGCCCGGCTATCCGGATTTCGGTGCCATGCGGCGGCGTGTGGACGGCCCCAGCCTATATGTGAATTCCTATGACGCACAGCATATTGCAGATCAGATCAAGTCATGCCGAGTAAAGAATCGAAGAAGCTAACTATGTGCGATCTCGATAGACCCTCGCTGAGAAGGAGTACAAGCCTGAAGATCTCCCCGTCTGGAACTTTGACGGCTCATCCACCGATCAGGCCCCCGGCGAAAACTCTGACGTCTACCTGCGTCCCTGCGCCATCTTCCCCGACCCCTTTCGCGGCTCTCCCAACATCATTGTCCTGGCTGAGTGCTGGAACGCCGATGGCACTCCCAACAAGTTCAACTTCCGTTATGAGTGCAACAAGGTGATGGAGGCTTATGCCGAGCACGACCCCTGGTTCGGCCTTGAGCAGGAGTATACTCTCCTTGATCACGATGACCGTCCTTTTGGCTGGCCCGTTGGCGGTTTCCCTGCTCCGTATGTCACTCCGTGTTTTCAAAAAAAAATGGGTAGCTTTTGAAGACATCCCCACTAACAGTCTTCTAGCCAGGGTCCGTACTACTGCGGTGTTGGCAGCGGCAAGGTTGTTATGCGAGACATTGTCGACTCACACTACAAGGCCTGCCTCTACGCCGGAATTCACATCTCGGGTACCAATGCTGAGGTGATGCCCGGTCAGTGGGAGTACCAAGTTGGTCCATGCGTTGGCATTAACAGTACGTACAACTCTTCTTTGGTTTTGGCTTTCACCTTGGTTTGTTACGAGCTGGATCACGGATGCTAACAAAAACGCCAGTGGGCGATGAACTCTGGGTTTCTCGATTTATGCTTGCTCGCGTCGCAGAAGACTATGGCGTCAAGGTCTCATTCCATCCCAAGCCTATGAAGGGAAACTGGAACGGAGCTGTAAGAATCCCCGAGGGAAAAAAGAACTCTGTTTTACTTGTGACTAACTAGCTCTAGGGTCTGCACAGTAACTTCTCAACGAAGGAGATGCGTGCCGAGGGTGGAATGAAGCACATTGAGGATGCTCTCAAGAAGCTCGAGCCCCACCACGTCGAGTGTATCAAGGAGTATGGAGAGGACAATGAGCAGCGTCTCACTGGAAGCCACGAGACTGGTTCCATTGATCAGTTCTCCTGGGGCGTCGCTAACCGTGGCTGCTCTATCCGTATTCCACGGGAGACTGCCGCCAAAGGCTACGGTTACTTTGAAGATCGCCGACCTGCATCCAACGCCGATCCTTACCGCGTCACCAAGATCCTCATGACCTCAATATTCGGCAAGCTGTGAGAGGCTTGTTTTTTATTTGCCCTTTTACCACTAGACTAGCATTAATGGTTTCGGTTTCATTGCCATGGCGTTTTTGGATGAGATACACTGTGGAGGGATATTAGTAGTTAGTGAATATATACTACACAGGTCAATAGACACTGTAATCATGTTATTTTTACTGTGTTGACGGGATGTTTTCGTGGGTGAATTGCTTGCCATGTAGGCTGAAATAATGAGCCGGGACTTTGCCCATTATAAAATTCACTTGCACGTCGTCTTGATGACTTGTAAGGGTACCCGACACGGGCGTAGACGAGACCGTCATCAATAGGAGTTGATGACGGTACGCAATTGGCTCGGTTGAGCTGTGCTTTCACGTAAACTAGGTGCCGGTTTATATGAGAGTGGCGTGAGAAATCAGCAAGGATTCCGACATGAATTGGTCCCTGGACTTGATTGTTTCCTTGAAATAAGATGAGAAATAGCGGTATTTGATCTAGCCATGCTATTTTCAGTATACAAAGGGTTAGCAGGAGGATGCAAAACAGGCCATCCTCGGACCAGATGTTGAAGACAGCTTGAACAAGCAGATACCTGGAATAGATGGTGCCTCCAGGTAGCGGAGGAACTTGGAGAGAGCTGGACAAGGGACAATAGGCAAGAACCACGGCCATTTATGTTGCTGCACAGCCGATGAAGGTGTGAATGGCACAAACTTACACCATGTTGACCGAAACTTGGTGGCCGACGCTTTCTGTGTCACGATGATGAGCGAAGAGCATACATGGTTTCATGGTATATAAAACGATTAGCATGCCCTGATACGTCAAAAGCAAGGCAGCGTCAGCATAGCTGCACTCCAAGACAAAATGCAAAGGAATACTTCATATCTGCTCCAAGGCAACTATATCTTTAAGAGATTTATCGTTGCAATCTCATCTAGTATAGGAATTTTCCACCGGAAAGACAAAGATGGAAACATCTTTACCCGTTTGGAGGAATAGCGTTGAATGTTGCAAATGCTGTAAACCAAACTTGGACAAGAAATGTACTAGTTAGTTACACCAACCTGCTGGTTCGGTGCTGACATTGCGCGGAGACGGAAGACTTGCTGCAGGTATAATCATAAGGTAGTCTGTAGCATACCAAACCCCAATCTGGTTGCATCTTGCATCAGACGCATCTATGAAAACTGGCCATGACCTTCTTACCACCCGGAGATCAATTTCTATAAGTACGCCTACTATAATCGCCGTACCAACGGCATCATTACTAAGCTATATGTAGTCCACGACTCTATAATCAACGCGTTCATTGTGCCACAATCTATGTTTCCCATTATTGATCTTATAGCGTGATCAAGAAATTGATAATGTTGAAATGGGGTGAGCAGCAAAAGTCCTGAGCCGATCGACATGAAGGATTTGAGATGGGACAAATTGAATTCCCAAGAGGTTCAACAACGCATAAGAGATTTATTCTTTCTACTCTTTGGCAACAGAAAGACGATTTCGTGACCACCTGGACTGTTTCTTCGGGGCTATTGGCGAAAAGCGTATAATAGAGCTATGTAGCATACCGATTGCATTTTTTCAGTGAGAAAACGAAAAAGCTGTTGTTGTGCAACGGCTACGCCAAGTCGGCAACACGAATATACGTGTCAATGCATTGTCCTCAAATCACGTCTTTTGCGCAACAACAAAGAAATGCAGAAGCTGACTTGGGTCATATGCCGCAATATAGCTAGTAATTGTGATTGTAGACACAAAGCTCATGATGATACCGTGGTCTGGAATGACATGCATTTATCTAAAACCAAGTATATTCTCTGGAAAGACATGTTTGCTTACCACAAGACTGCCATACCATGGACTTTATCACACACGGTTTTGATTAAAATTTCATTGCAATCTAGTCTTTGCCATGTCAACGGGTCCAAAGTGCGCAACCTGGCTCCTGTGCAACAAAACCAAGATAGATGGCCCCTTGTTTCTCCTTGGGTTTTTGGTAAATCGTCAGTGTTTTTCAAGACTCGAACAATATACAGCTGTCTGCTCCAGTAGCGACGCCCTTCTCCCCGACAGCAATTACTTTACCCACCTACTGAGTCTTGCTTCCCTTCTTCGCCTCTATAGCTACATTGAGAGCGTCCTGAAGCGTATCCAACAAGTCTTGGGTATCTTCCAAGCCTGCTGATATCCGAACACTCTCCTCCTTGACGCCGCATGGCCGCAACGCCGCAGCCTCATCCTTATCCTTGCCAAACATAAACATGTTATAGGCAAGCATGATTGTGACATGCCCACCAAGATGGGGAGAGGGATAGAAACCGCAGCGATCATAGAATGCCCTGGCCGTCTCGACGCTGTCAAATTCTACTGTCAAGAGACATCCGTATCCCGGGTTCGGAAGCTCTGCTGTACTACGGCGCTTGAAGGCGTCGTAGTTGACCTTGCTCGGTAGTAGACTTGGGTACTGGACGTTGACAACCGGCGAGTCAGGTTGGCCGATGCTTTTGTGAAGAAATTCGGCCATGATACGGGCTTTATCATTGAGACGTGACGTCCGCTCAAAGTAATCTTCAGAGTTGGACAGGAGCACCTCGGCATCCGCCGCGAAAAGCTGATTGTGGTGAGACTCGGTGAATCGCTTAGATAACTCAGCGTAGTGAGGTGAGAGAGGATTGAGCACAATAGATCCGCCGAGGACGTCGGACTTGCCACTGAAGGACTTGGTGAGAGAAGTGAGGAGTATGTCGCTCTGCGCGAGGACATCAACGTTGCCAAAGGAGCTCAGGGTGTCGTCCACGATGAAGACAAAGCCATACTTTTCAGCCTAGATGAGAGAAGAAGAAAAAAAAAGAGGGTAAGTCTAGAGTTTCGCCCGAAGGAGGAGACTGTGGCAAAAATGAAGGACATCAGGGCCGGCGACTTACAAGTTGCTTTAGACGAGGCAAATCGGGGGTGTCAAGGGTTGGATTGCCTGGATACTCGACAATTACAAACGTCGCACCGCTTCCTTTGCTCTTTTGGCTCTCAAGCCATGCTTCCAAGTCATCGATACCCTCCTTGTCAACTTTGGGGGCATGCTTCCAACCCCCGGGGCTTTCCTCGTGTAGGAGCTCATGAGTATTGTGGAATACGATACCCAGCTCGACATTGACGAAGCCAGGGCGGTAATCCTGTAACAGATTCTTTGCCGTAAAAAATAGCTCCCATGCCACTTGGATAGAGGAAAACGTCCTTGGGCTGACACTTGACCTTGTCCGGATCGATTGCGCCATGTTGGAGCAGCTCCACGATGCGCCGTTTCAGCGGCTCGTGTGAGGGGCCCTCTGGCGTCCAGGTCGGCTCGGGGGGAGCATCTGGACTCTCAAATGGCACCTCAGTCAAGGTGTCAATCTTGTCCAGAAGTTGCTCGGCTCCTCTGATGGAGATTCCGATGCCCGGAGTGCCCCAGCTGAGCATCAGCGCCTTGACGTGCTCTGGCTCAAACAGCACAGCATAGAGGCGATGACCGGCCACATCGACGACCTTGAAGGTCAACTTGTCCGGGGAGATGGCAAATTGCTGGCGCTGCTGGTGCGAAACATGGCTGGCTGTGTATTTCCACATGACGGGGTCAAGGTATACCATGCATCCTTTGCCCTCGAGGCCGACTCCCTTTGCAACGCCTCCTGCAAGCTACGTAGTTCGTGGTCTCGAATTAGCTATGCCAAGATGTTGTCTAACAATCCAGTTGGAGAGTTCATAGAGGCAAGAAAGGAAAGGAGCGGGGATCGCATACTGTGCGGACATGGTGAGTCGGCGACAATCGAGGATAAATGTGTACGACTCTGGCTAATGGAGCCATATCCCCGTCACGGACGCCCTTCAACATGTCCCATCCGGGTATGTTGCTGATGATGCTATATGGTGTCTGGGGAGGCGGCGCATGGCCCCATTCCGACTCTGCCTTGAGAACAACCATTGCGGTCAAGTATCTTGATTTATCGAAACAATGTATGAGTTGCAGAGTAGAGTATGGTGTCTGCGGAAACGATCACGTCTGACAAACCCGTGGTGTTCCTGCGTTACTTGAATATTCCCCCGCTCTCACGTTCCGGCACAATATCACAATGCAACAAACAGCCACATGCCTTGTCAGACTCAGCCCAAGCTGACCTATTAAGCTGTGCCATCCATTGGTGGACCTGTAGGGAAACCTGCGTCTACTGAATGTGGCGTGTTACGGCCCCGACACATGTTATGGACCGGTGCTGACGTGAGGGCAGAAGTGGACTAACCAGTCAACTCGCCCGAGCATCTGCATCTTTGCCCCATGAGCAATGCCCTTTGCAAGAAAACCCCCTCTACTACGTCCCTTGCTGTGTGTGTTGCGGCGTTGTCCAGGCCCATCCATGGTCCAACGGGATCCTGTGGGTCGGCAGTTGATGCCCAGATGTGGTGGCTTTTCGATTCAAATGTTTGCGGCGTTCAGCTCCTCTGGTATGGCTTCAATTCTCACCTCTGGTGGCGTTGGCGGAAGCGTATAGCTATGGTTAGCTCCTAAGTGGCCAATATTTGGCCACAGCGCAACTCCGGCTCCCTAGTTTCGCCAACAAAGAGAGGAATCCAGATCCAGGAATCCAGATCCAGGGGTGGACGCAACTGCAGTCTGTGGTAAGATATATTTCACCGGGCCAAATGTAGCTAAACTATTCCCGGTATCTTACAGAAGACCACGCGTAGTAGACGCTGGTGTGCTTTGATAAACTACACATAGGTCCCCAACTGGTGTACCTCGTCCATCTGAACCTGCCATGGTCCTCTACGAGAGACTCGGGCTGATTTGAAGAGAATGTCAACTCCGGTTTCTTTCCTTCCAAAGTAACGAGCGGACGCGTTTTAAATCGGACGCACATCCGTGTCGAGCCATAGCCCGTGGCATCAAAGGTTCTGTTTATTCTAATGATGCTCTCATACCAAGCGGCAGAAGCCTTTTACTGGGAAAGAAAGCCCAATTATGTATTCCCCATTTGTTTCCATGAAATGCGATATCAGCCTCAAGCCCATTTTCTTCTCCCCATTACCACTCCTCGACGTAGCCATATTTTGCAAACACGTCGGTTGTAGCCCGGTCGAACTCTCTCATAATAGTGTCTTTGCGAGCTTGAGATCTGGGAGTAACTCTGCAAGGAAACTGCTTGGCGCAGACCAACAGTCCAGAGGCGTACGCGCCCTCGGGACTCACATCAGGATCTATCACGCGGCCTTGCGAGTCAACACCAGACTCGATATGCAGCGTCCAGAGCAGCTTTGCCATGGCAATGAATAAACTGCGCTCTGCGAGGTGAATTCCCGGGCACAGTCTTCTGCCACTTCCATATGCATAATGGTCGCGCTTCTCCCAATCACCATTCGCCAGCTCTGATGCCAGCTGCGGGACGCCAACGTAGCGTTCTGGGTTGAAAGTGTCTGGATCGGCGAATCGATTGGAATCATGCTGCATGCCCCAAGCGTTGATGATTACTTGGCTTCCTTTTGGAATCGTCATGCCGTCGATTGCATCGTCTTCGCCGACAACGTGGGGGAAGCCAAGAGGAACAACCGGACGCCAGCGCAAGGTTTCCTTGACGCAAGCAGCAACATATGGCAGTTGTGCATAGTCTTCCCACGTGGGCGACCTATCCTCCCCTACTACACTGTCAATCTGGTCCTGGGCCTTGCTCATAACTTTTGGCCATTTTGTCATGGCGTGAAGAAAGGTGACGAGGGCCGAGCCGGTGGTATCTGAGCCCCCTTCCATTAGTGTGCCCGCCAGAAAGTAAAGGGCATGCCGATTGAGAGAAAGCTTGCCGCTATCCTCCTGATCGAGCGCGCGGTCAAGAAAGCAATCGCGGGATCCTTCAGACTTTCGTCTCTCCACCACCTTGTTGAACCACTCCTCATGGAGGCCGTTCATTTGTTCGCCCACGTGTTGTGCTCGAGTACGCCAGTTGCCGAACAATTTCTCAGGGAGATGCTTTATGAAAGGGAAAATATCCACGGGAGGGCTACTGCCAAATTCTTGCAGGTTGGACCAGGCCTCCATGAGACTGTAGAGCCTCTTCATGTGGGTGGCATTTATGTCGGGCGTTCGTGTTCCAAATACTTGGCCGTGTTAGCACATGTCCTGTTTCATCACTTCAAGGACTCGATAAAAAGAACTTGCCGAGACTCATGATGGTACTGTTACTGAACCGTTTTGGGTGTTGCATAAAATTGTCTGGTTCCTCAACAAAGTCGCGTACCATCTGGACAGCTTCCGCGTCCACAAGTGCAAGATGATTGTTGACCACCATGCTCTCCATGAAGAATTGGTGAATTAATTTGCGGCACGCTCGCCATTTATCTGAATACTGCATGAGAAGAAGGTGGTCGCCTTGGGAAATAATATCGTAGCTAATATGAGAGACCGGCCGATGGCTGTAAAGATTCGACTTCTTATCTATAAGTTGTTTGACGAGGCGCCGTGATGTGAGGACAACGCAGGTCGCAGGACCCATTTTGAGAGAGAAAATTTCACCATACTGTTTTGCCCATTCTGTAAACCTGGACATGGATGTAAGTCAGCCAATGGCTTCCGAGTGCCTAGGATCAGGTCAACCCACTTCAAATACGTGAACGTGGCCGGGATTTGATGCAAGTTTCCAATGATGGGGAGAGTCGGCGGCCCTGGTTGAAAGTCAGCTCGAGTCATATTGCAAAACGAGTGCAATCAACGAACCGGGTGGGAGTTTCGAGTCCCGTCTTCCTACCGATGTGACGAGATACGCAACGAGCAGCACAGTGAGCAAACCGAGGGCAACTAGTATGGTCATCGCGGTAGATTCTTTGCATAGCACTCTCTAAAGATGATTCCATTCATTCGTTTGTGTTTGAGCTGATGCGGGGTATCGGAGATTTTATATCGACTGCATGTAGCTGAAAGAACAGGTGCAACAACCTGCATACGTACAAGGAAGCATGTAACTGTAGGTGGCTTGCTTCAAGTCGTATTAACCAATAGACCAAGTAATGCCTCCGCACTCGGTGATACATATTCTGCACGCATGTGCTCTTGTGTCATCATGACAAATAAGTTTTGTTACACGACAATCGAATTGATAAAATAGAGTTCGAAGCATTCCCCAGCTTTTCGATGCGGAAAAGCACCATTGGAATGCATCTGCAAGCCATGTAGCGTTTTAGATAAACCGATAAACTCCCGGCCTCTATTGCGTCATATTTTCAGCCACTTGAAGTAAGCATGTTGGTATCCTGTTTCCTAAAGGTGAATTCGGGGTCCCAATGCCATAGCCCGTGGGATAAATTTGCGTGGGCAACGCTCCACATTCATTCTCCGAGACCAGGCCTGGACACAAGCTTCATGTCCATATTAGCTTTCAGTGTGTAATTGCTTACAAGTTGCACAGAAAGCTGCGTAGAAATAAGAAGTATCTGTAGATTCTGTACAGGGTATGACTTGGGCCCGTCTAGAGACAAGTTATCCAACCACGACATGACAACACCTTATCTAGCTGAAAAAAATTACCATCCGATGAGTTTCTAGTTGAAAATGTCGCCTTTACCCTGAAAGCTACATGGAGAGTAACAATCAACATTAACATGACAACAAGAAGCATAGGGGGCCAGCCGCAGGACGGACACGGACCGGCGATAGTGGAGCCCCGGCGCAGCCCCGGCGTTGTGCGGGGGGCAAACAGCGCTAAAGCCCCCCCAGGTGCCAGGTGCCAGTAAGCAGTCTGGCCAATCAAATAACAGCACATGCACTGTTGAGAACATTGAAACCTGAACCAGACGGCTTATACATGTAAATTCTCGACCAGCTTATTCTCACTTACACCCTTTTCACACACAATCCAATTTCTTACACCCAACGCCCGCTGAACTCCCTTATTAGTACCGTCCCCAGAGTCTTGCGACTTGTTACTGCTTCAAGACCTGTTTTTGGGGCGAAAATCTGTTCATTTTTTTTGCCATGGCTGTTGATGCTTGGGCCGCCGACTTCGTGAATCGTGACCGCCTTTGGAGTCGACAGGCTCCTCGAGGTTCGGACTTCAGGCGTGAAAAAAATGCCAGCGCTGAATATCGACACCGGGATAGACAAGAAGATCTGTAGTAAACCCATGAGGATAAACAAACTGGGTCTTTAGGGCGACTGGGACGACCTGACCTTTCACGGGGGCCCGGACAGGCCATCCTCGGGTGTAAGTCGTCATTACACACGCCCCTGACTTTCTAGCTCATCTACCGCTATAGATTGCTCCTCTCGCTATGCCAACTGGAAATCATTGTACCCCGAGCGCGCGGATTCGGCCATGTTGTCCTGTGTTAGCCGTGGTGGTGGACGAGTTGTGATTGAGGTCTAGTGGATGTTGGCCAGAACAGACACACCTTGTCATGGTCGATCAAGTTGATAGACAAGACCGCAGCATACGTTGACTAAATGTCCATTCTTATATTACAAGTCTGCGTATAGTGTCAATTTATCGCTAAATCGTCTGAATCTGGAAATGTCGCTTGAAGTAACATGGAGACGCTGGTGGTAGATATGTCGATACGATTCAGTCATCGCACCTCAGTCATTCCATGTCATTCCTAACAAAACTATTTCTCACGAATCCTCAGTAGCAATATTTAGCTCAGCTAGTTAATTAATTCTTCTAGAATATTATACAAATCATTAAAAAACGTGCAATCCAATACCAAAAGAAACCCAACAAAAGGAAGAATATCAGTGTATACCGGCTCACATTTACATGACAGTCCGCCGCAACATTATCCATTTAGCCGCTGGATGCGTTCTCAGCCTTCCTTGAATCTTTTAAGCAACGCCCTCAGAAACTCAGCATCAACAGCTGGACAGCCAGCAGCCGCACCGGGGTTAAGAACATCCAGGATATCCATCGTCTTCTGGTTGTCCAGACTAAACATGACACCACCCGTAGAAAGATATTGTTTGAGCACAGCGCTTCTCACAACTTGGCCGGCTCCATCCTCACCCTCTGCCGACTCCATACTGCTCAGCCATTCATCAAGCGATACCAGACTAGGCCGTGTTTGTTGCGAACGGAGCTCGGCAATGATCCCGGGCAAGTCTTTGAGGCGCAGCGGTAACGGGTTGGTAATGTGGTAGATTTGAGGAGCAGAGTATATTTCAGACGGGGGAACATGGGAGAGAGCCCCCTTCGTGGAAGTCAGCGTGAAAAAGTTGGAGGCGAGCCAGTCCACAGGCACGACATCGACGGCGAAACTTGGCTGATCGGCACGGCCAATCTGGGGCACCGTCCCCGATTCAATCATGATCGCGACGACGCGCATGATGAACTCATCACCAGGGTCGGGAACGCCAGCACCCCGAACAGCGGCGGTGACACCCGAAGCCCGGGTAATCGTCACGGGGAATCCTCTTTGAGCAGCCTTGGTCAGCAGGTTCTCCGCTACCCATCGGGTCTTGAAGTAGCCAGAATCGTCTCCGGTTGGGGGCGAAAAGTGAGAACTGTCTTCTTCCCCAATGGCGTAATCCTCGCGAGTCCGCTTAGATGCAGACCAAGTCTGGAGATGGGCAACGGACCACGTGGACAGGTAGTTGATGTCGGAGAGATGGAACCCAAGGCCCGACAGTTTGATAACATCAAATATGGGCGTAACATTGCTTGGCTTCAGAGAGCTGTATGTTTTGAGCAGCGAGACGTGACCTCCGAGGTGGTAGATGGATTGCACCGTCTGGCCGAGTTCCCTAAAGGCAGATCGTGAGAGACCAAAGTTGGACTGGTTCAATGATCCTGGAACAAACTTGACACGGCCGCTGATATCATCCAGGGTCAGATTTTCATTAAGCAAGTCGAGTTTCTGGAGGAGATCAATGAGCGCCTGCGGCTCCATCTTCTCCATGGATCCCAAGACGTGAACTGTGGCGTCTCGTTTGGTTCGGAGAATTTCCACCAGCAGGTGGATTCCAACGAAGGATTCTGCCCCTGTCAGGAGAATAGACTTGAGTTCATCGCGATCGATGCGAGGAATACCATATCGTGGTATATACTGGCTGGTGTTGGGTAGATTGGTCTCGACATTCCAGCTAATGACACTCTCAAGCCCGCCCTTACCAGCGCCATCACCGCCTTTTGCACGTCTCAAGTACGCACAGACGGCGGCCGCAGTTGGTTCGCGTATCAGAGCGGGCAAGGGAGGAGCAATCTTGAACTGCTTCTTCACTTTGGCTTGCAGTCGAACGAGGAGGATACTGTTGCCGCCTCTCTCGAAAAATGAATCGTTCAACTCGATTTCTCCGCCAAGTGTAGTCCTGAAAAGGGCAAGAATGGTTCCCTCCAGATCTTCAGTACGTTGGTCTGAGGCTGTCGTTGTGGTCGGCCCATTCCTGCCAGGCTGTGTGGTGATGCTTGACGGAAACAAGAGTTCCAACTGCCTCTCCAAAAGGTTTCTGCGATCGACCTTGCCGCCGAGAGTAACTGGAAGCTTGGCCAGAAACTGGTATCCGTTGGGAAGCATGTAGTAGTTGAGATGCGGCTTAATCTTGCGGTGCAAGTGAGAAATAATGGCGACCTTGTCAGCCTCATTGGTGATGTTGGCTTTAGGAACGAGGTAGGCAATGAGTTGCTGCTGCTCATCAGAGTCCACGGTGCGAGCCACAACTGCAATGTCAACAAGGGCACCGGCTTTCTTCAAAGACTGCGACGCCTTGAAGATTACCTGTTCCACTTCACCGAGATCGATCCTAAAGCCCCGGAGCTTGATTTGCTTGTCTCCTGCAATTCGACCGTGGAACTCCAGTTGGCCATCAGGTCGGAAACGGCCGCGGTCTCCCGTCTTGAACATTCTGTTCCATCCCCTCGTGCGGTCGTCCTCGGATGCAAACGGATCCTCAACAAATGATTGTGCATTTGCTTCGGGTCTATTCAAGTATCCGGCACCGACTTGAACTCCACCTACAACCAGTTCACCAATCTGACCAGCCGGGACAGGGTTGCCTCTGATATCAAGGAGGTAGTGGCGGCAGTTGTCCATGGGATATCCAATGGGGAGACTTACAACTCCCTCACCAGGATAATCAATCTTGCTTATGGCCGTCTGTACAACGAGTTCTGAAGGAGACCAAGTGTTGTAGAGAGTGGCAGGCGTTCCAAGATCGTAGAATGCCTTGGCAACACGGACAGGTAACCGCTCACCAGCAAAGTAGGCGACTCTGTACTTGGAACATTTCCGAAGAGCCTCGCTGTTGAACTCCATGAGCAGTGCAAATTGAGTCGGGGTGAAATATGTGACACTAACACCCTCCCTCATCATGAAATCAGCGAGCGCGACGGGGTCTTTGCGTGTTTCCCATGAAGCAACGGAAACAGTTGCGCCAGCTGTTAGGCCACCGAAGATCTGAACAATAGAAAGATCAAATGATGTAGTCGTGTGTGCGAGAAAGTTGTCATCCTGTGAAAAGGCATAGTCTTTGTTCAGTGTTGCCAACATGGCTTGAGTATTGGACTCCTTCAGCACGACTCCTTTAGGGGTGCCGGTGCTTCCCTGCTATAGTTAGATGGTTTATGTAGGGGAAGCAAGACTGGCCATGTTTCAAGTTCATTAAAACTCACAGAGGTATAGATCATATAAAAAGGATCATCGGGGTGTCGTGCTCGCTGGTGAGCAATGGTTCTGCCCGCAGCGGCAGCGTCTTCGATCCTAATGACCTTGGGGGCCATTACCATCTTGGACAATAATTCAGCGACCAGGCCGTCTTGGCCTGGGCCAGTTAGAAGAATCCTGGCACCAGAGTCAGAAACCATAAACGAGAGGCGGTCGTGGGCGAAATCGGTATCGAGCGCGACATAGCACGATCCCGTCATGAGGGCCGCGAGCATGCCCGTCACCGCCTCAACACCGGGCAAAGCGATCAGCCCGATTTTATCACCGGGTTGTGCGCCAAAATCGAGGAGCTCAGAGGCTACGCTCTCCGCGCTTTCGATCAGCTGCCTGTATGTTATGCTACGGCAGTCAGAGGTGTTTATCGCTGCAGTTTGAGGGTGTTGTCTTGCCGTCTTGGTAATTACATCGAGTACACTCTGCTCCCCCCACTGACATTCTTTAGTCTCCATATTCCAATAGTTCTTTTTGAGAAATTCGATTTCGAGGGGTCCACACATGCTGATTTCGTCAACGGGTTGGCGGTGGTCCCTGATACAGCTACCGAGGAAGGTGTTGAAATTGTCGAGGAATCGCTCCATGTCGGGATTGTAATATAGAGCGGTTGAATACTCGATCTTGAGGTCCAGGCTATGCTCAGAAGTCTCAACGGCTTCAAGTTGAATATCGGCGGCGGTGGGAATGTCGTCAGATTCGATGTTTTCAACAACAAAGTCGCAGGTGGTGTAAGTCGGAACAGGGCCGTGAATCTGGTAGTTGACGGCAATTTGGCCCACGGGCATGTGGCTGTTCGTCTTCTTGACATTCATGATATCGACTATGGTATCAAATGGAACACCGCTGTGAGCCATGGCATCTAGAGCACGAGACTTGGTAACCTGGAACAATTGATCGAATGGAACATCACAGTCATCTACACGTCATGGTCAGCCAATATTTTCAACTAGAAAATTCTCAAACCCGCTTCGCAAGAGTAACAGCAAGTCGCTGCGCAGGCATAGTCACTTACCATTACATCTCACAGGAGCAAGATTGACGAAGAAACCCATCAGGGGTTCGGTATCGGGGTGAGGTCGGTTTCCGTCAACCATGAGAAGTACAAGATCCTTATCTTCGGTGTATCTGTAAAGGAAGGCTTGGAAAGCAGCAAAAACGAAGTGGAATGGAGTTCCATTCGACTGGGAAGCAATTCGCTTCATACGAGCAAATAACTTGGCGTTGAGGTTTGTTCTGACTTTCTGGCGCAGAGGATCACTTCTTGCTGGGCGTTCACCCTTGGCGAAAGGGAGAAGCTTGCTAGACTGGGGGATGCCCTTGAGGGTTGTCCTCCACCAGTCAAGGTCAGGTTTCATCAGATTGGACGCAAGACGGGCGTTGTGCCATAGCGTAAAGTCGACGTAGTTGAACTTGGGAGCAGAAACGGTTGCAAGATCACTACCGGTTCGCAGAGCGTCGTAGATACCGACAAACTGCGACATCATCGGGAACAAACTAGCACGGTCAATGGAAATATGATGGGTCATGCCAACCACAGCCCATTCCTCCTCACTGAGCTTGGCAAGCGAGTAAGTAGCAACTTCACCTTCTTCAACATTCATCTCAATCTTGCGGTTATACCTGACAAATTCCTCGAGAGCCCTTTCGATATCCGCTTCCTTGGTCAAATCGCGGAAGTCAACACCGAGCTCAAAATCTTCAAGGGGCTCTTGGACGGCAAAGTCATCTCCCTCGAAATATGCAGTCCGCAAAGCAGGGTTTCTGACGGCCATCTCCTGGATGGCCTTCTGGAGAGTTGGGTAGTCGGGCTTGCCCCTGATTCGGAGGACAATGGGCAGGTTCAGAAAAGACTTGTCCTCTAGAAAACTGTGGACGAACCATAGGCGGGACTGGAAAGTAGAAAGAGGAACAAGCCCGCTATGCTGAGATTTTGTGAGCTGTCCAGTAGCCATGGCAGAGATGTTGCTATCCTCCTCGGGGCTTTCAGACTCCGCAGCAGACTTCTTCTCAGGCTTGTCTCCAGCGGTATGCTTGCTGGCGGATGCAGTGGTAACCATCCTAGCAGTCTTGGACACCAGGGCGTTGATAGAGGCAGCGCCCAATATGTCGAAGAGCGCAATGTCAACCTGGATCTCCTTTCGAAACCACTTCCGGAACTCAACAGCAACAATGGAATCAAGACCATAAGCAGACAATGGGTTGTTTGGCAGGATTGATTCGCGGGGAGTAGCAAGGACGCTAGCAATCTTTTCCAAAAATCGGTCAAGAAGGATATCAGTCTTCTTCTCAACATCAGGTTCCTCACTGAGAAGAGCAAGGAGGTTCTTGGAGCTCTGTCCGGCCCCCTCGGCACCAAAATCGTGGTTAGAATAGAGATTCCTCATCATTGGCTTACTAGCCCAGTATACATCCGGTGAGATAAGACCGACGCCGGTGATGATTTGGTGCCCGTTGCAGCCGCGAGCAGTGACGGGGTTAACAGACTTGTCAGTAATCACAGCTTCTTCGAGCTGGTAGAGGAGTTCCTCCTCATTGATGGTGTCCATCCCCATTCTGAGCATAATCTTCTGCAGTTCCTCGTTCTCAGCAACAACGCCAACACCAGTGACTGCGCCGACGTTCATCGTAGTCCCGCTAAGACCAAGCTCACGACGGTGTCGCATGAGGGCATCAAGGTAGCAATTGGCGGCCGAGTAGTTGGCCTGGCCCTTGGAGCCAACAACAGCCGCGACCGAGGAAAAACAGACAAAGAAGTCCAGGTTTTTGCCCAGAGTTGCTTCGTGCAAGTTCCTGGTTCCCTCAACCTTGGGCTGGCAGCAACGCTGCCATTGTTCGTATGTCATGGTTTCAAGAGGTTTATCCTGCAAGACCATGGCAGCTTGGAAGATGCCTCCTAGCGAAGATCCAATCTGTTCAACACAACTCTGGACATCGGTAAACTTGGAGACACCACCACGGTATACGGTAGCGTCAACACCACGTTCAATAAGCCAGTCAATGGTGGCCTTTGCCTCGGCCTTGTCGGCACCAGAACGGGACAAAAAGGCAAGTCTGCTGGCTCCCTTACGGACCATCCACTGAGAAATAGTGCGACCTAGACCTCCAAGACCACCGACCAAGAGATAAGTCTTTGAAGAGCTGAATAGCTTGACATCACGGTATCCGCCACGCATAACCGGGACCATGTCCTCTGGATGGGGTACAAGAACAATCTGCAAAGGTTGTTGGTAAGTTTATAACATTCTTTCAAGTAGAGTAAATACCTTGCCAGTGTGCTTTCCCATCTGCAGCAGTCGAAAGCCTTTGACAACCTCAGAATACGGGACTTCTTTGATTGTAGCGGGCGTGCGGATCTCGCCGTTGGCAAGAAGGGCAAAACACTCCTTGAAAAGCTTCTCGCCGAGAGCCTCATTCTTTTCAAACATGGTCTATAGCATCTTAATCTTTGGTAGCTTGAAGGAAGTAAGAAAGAAGAAGGAACTTACCACAAGGTCAATGGAAGCGAACAATACATTGCGCCGAAAGGGGTCCATGGCGATCTTGCTGTTCTCATGAATATCTCGCTTCCCTATCTCGAGAAATCGCCCAAAAGGAGCAAGACAGGCCCAAGAGGCATGCAGAAGAGGACCTGCCAAACTGTTGAGGACGACATCAACCCCCTTGCCGCCACTGGCTTCCATCACGCCCTTGGCAAACGAGACATCACGAGAAGAGAAAATTTGTTCCTCCTTGAGACCATAGATTTCCTTGAGAAGCCGCCTCTTAGCAGGAGAGCCTACAGTAGCGTATATATGGGCACCCGCACGCTGAGCGATCTGGATAGCCATCTGGCCTACACCGCCGGCCGCGGCGTGAATAAGAACAGACTCTCCCTTGGCCAGGCGAGCGGTATGATCTAAAGCAAACCAAGCAGTACCAAGTATCAGCGGCATCGCAGCAGCGTCGACATAAGACAAGTTGTCGGGTAACTTGTAGCACCAAGATGCTGGATTCCGGACAAGACTGCGGTGAGCGCCCTGGCCAGGACGGAGAGCAACAACTCTATCACCAACTTCAAAGCCCTTGACATTGGCGCCAACTTTGGTGCAGATGCCAGCACATTCGTCACCAAGATTGAAATCCTCAATAATACCCATGCTGGCGGCAACGTCACGAAAGTTGATGGACGAAGCTTGGTCTCAACCTCAATCTCGTTGTCGTTGATCTTGGTGTCCATGACCTGAGTATCCTCACCAAAGTACAAGGTTTCGAGCAGACCAATCTTTCCGATTCTTAGAGCAAGAGGAGTACGAGTCTCAGCAGTACCAAAGGGCTCAAGGCGAGGTTCTTGGTTGGGGCCGTTCCTGAGCTTGCAGTTACGCTCGTCATCTGCCTCCACGCGGGGAATGTGTACGATGCCGTTTCTTTCAGCCAACTCATCCTCTGTGATTCTCGTGTCCAACAAACGGATGATATTGGCGGCTACGGTCTGGGCAGGAGAGTCAATACCGAAATCGAAATTTACCGCGCGAAGACTGTCATTCTCAGATCGTGCAGCGCGGACGAGCCCGATAAACATGGCATTGTCTGGGCGGCTGGCTTCGAGAGTAGCACCTTCGGTTGGCCAGACGACATTCTTCTCGAGAGAAATGAGAAGAGCTTGAGCGCCCTTGAAGGCAGTTTTGTCGGAGATGGACTCATCCAATCCCGCAAGGACGACGACATCCTTGGCCAATAGAGAGGCGCCCTTGGACGCCAGCTCGGAAAAGCTGGTGAAGGTGATCTTACCCCCATGAGCAGACTCGAGTTCCTTTAGAATGACGGAAGTTCGTGCAGAAGGCTTGCCGATTGGCATGACCACAGACAACTCAGAGTTGAGAGTGAATGGCTCAGCAGCCTTACGGACAGCAGTACAAAGGGGGCTGGAGAAGAGCTCTTGCAAGTACGCCGTGACGACACCCTTTTGTCCGTCGAACAAAATGCGTCCAGTGTCATTCATAAATGGAACTGCATTTACACCTGCCTCGCTGACAATTACGAGGTCATAAGAGTCGGGAGTTGGCTCTACCACGCTGACCAGACCGCGGCATTCCTTGGACAGCCTTTCGGCTTCCTCTCCAAACTCATTTCCCTCGAGTGACCATATGTCTAGCTGCTTGAATCTTCTTCTCTCTCCTTTCGCACATCCCAAATGCTGGATGAAGTCTCGCGTCTTGTTCAGATCGGAGGTGATGTGCAACATCTTCGTGGTAGGGTACTGGTGAGCAAACATGTCAACAATATCAGAGAGAGGTTTGCCCTTTACGTTGGTCAACATATCAAAAAATGGCTGCCATCGCTGGCGGTAGAAGAGTGTTCGAGGTCCTTGGCCCTCGGGAGCTTCGCGGCCCAGGGAATTCACCTCAAGCCCGGCAAGCTCCATCATCAGCTCGCCCCTCTCATTCTGCATAATCATGTCGTTGATAGCAACACGAGGAGAGGGCACCTTTGTGAATGACCCAACCTGAAAATTCTTAACGTCGGTAGAGTATCTCCAGTTGAAGAAGTTGCCTGAAACATTGAGAGCTCGGAAGAAGGACGGAACATAAGGCTCGTCAAGAGGACGACCAAGGCGGTTCTCAACAGCATGGAAGATGACATGGAAGAAGGAGTCAAGAAGAGTTGGTTGCAGAACCGTCTCGTCACCCGCCTCCAAGGGAAGATGCCTGGGGTCGAAAACGAGGTCAGAGACAGCGAAGCCAACACCACTCTCGATGCTGCCTTTGAGAAGACGGAACTTTTCACCATAGGCGAGGCCAAGATCTGCCATGTTCTTGTAGAATGTGGCAGCGGGCATGGACCTATAGGTCTTCTTGCGAAGCTCATTGAGGTTCGTACCCTCGGCATAGCGACAAGTATAATCTACAGGAGCAGCGTCACCCTTTTCAACGCTGATGAGACCATGACAGTGGCTAGTGCAGTTCGAATTTTCGTCGTAGGAGAAGACGTTGAACTCGTACCAGGTATCCGAGTGGCTCTTGGCGGACAGAGTGACTGGTTTGAGTTCAAGAAGTACTTCAACGCCCTCATCGGTAGAAGGAATCAAAAGAGCGTTCTTTACGATAATATCCTTGAGACGAATAACCTTCACGCTCTCGACTTGGTCAGTGCGAATGGCTGCCTCGATAGCCATGCTGATGTAGCCGGCACCAGGAAAGACGACCTTGTTCTCTACCACGTGCTCATTGAGCCATGGTAGCTCGCTGAGTCGGAGATAGTTTCGAAACAGAGGATGTCGTACAACAGAGCCGGCAACCCTATGGCCCAGGGTAGCATGGCGAAACTCTCGCTGGCGATGCTCCTTGATGTGGCGAGTCTCAGACCAGTACCGACGGTGCTCCCAAGTATACGTAGGGAGGTTATGGAGCTGGATACCGGTAGGAGTAGAGACTAAAGCTCCGTCCAGGGTTTGACTGAGATTCTGGTTGGCGGCGACAATATCAACGGGGTAGCCGAGAGAGAAAAGAGAGCCGGCCATGTTCAAAAGGCATTCGAAATCGGGCACACCACGGGTCAGGGAGGCGATGTAAGGAAGATCCAGCTTGAGAGACTGGACAGTCTGGCGAGCTGGGCCCTTGAGGGCAGGATGAGGGCCAATTTCAACCAAAATATCCACATTCTGCTCATCCTCTTCGTCGAGCAGAATACCAGTCAGGGCATCAGAGAATCGCACGGCTTGAACCATGTTGGCAGCCCAATAAGAGGCCCCCATCTTCTGGTGGTCAGCCTGGCGAGAAGTAACACTGGAGAACATGCGGCACTTGGGGGGATCGGTCTTGAAGGCAGGGTTGTTCTTAAGAGCATTTTCATATGCCGGGGCCAGGGGAAACATGTGGTGAGAGTGAAAGGCCTGCTTGACAATAAGCTGTCGAACAAAGACCTTCTTCTCCGTGAGCTTTTCCTTGAGCTCAAGGATAGCGTCTTCATCCCCGGAAACAGTCATGGTGGACGGGCTGTTGACAGCAGCAATGGTGAGACGGCCAGCGTAAGGTTTGAGCTCCTCAAGACACTTATTCTCGGGAAGACCAACAGCCATCATGCCACCAGGAACACCTTCGCTGCGACTAGCCGACATGTAACGGCCGCGGTAGTAGGCCGCTATGAGAGCACTATCGAAGGAAAGGATACCAGCAGCATAAGCAGCGCCCATTTCACCAGAAGAGTGGCCAACGACAGCAGAGGGCTTGATTCCCCAGCACGCAATCAGGTCAATGATGGCAAGCTGGAGAGCGGTGCAGATAGTCTGAGAATACAACGTCTCTCCTAGTAAAGTTGTCTCCTTGTTCTTGTTGAGTTCGGCAACAATGGACCACTCAGGGGCGTCAGGGAGGCTCTTGAGAATGGCGTCACATCGCTGCAGACTCTGGCGGAAATGGGGACACTCTTCAATAAGCTGCCTGCCCATAGCAAACCACTGAGCACCCTGGCCAGTGAAGATGAAGCCGAGCTTGGGAACTGCATTCTTAGCAATGGTCCAGGGGGCAGCTGGGCGCGGAGAGGAGAGCTGATCAACAAGGCCAGCCTTGTCATTCGCAACAACAAACGAACGCTGCTGGTGCAATGTCCGGCGAGTAGATAAGCTGTAGGCAAGGTCGGCAATGGTGGCATCCTCGGTGTTGTTGAGGTAGGCCTTGAGAGTCTCCTCTGACATCTCGCCGGCTTTGGAGGAGTGAGACGTAAGTGGAACAAGATAAGGGCGAGAGTGAACGCCGTTGGCAATGGGCTCAGAAGAAATAGGAGCAGGTAGTTTCTCATCCCTACTATACTCCTCCAAGATAACATGGGCATTAGTACCACCGTAGCCAAAGGAGTTAATGCTGGCGCGCCGAGGAACACCATCGGGAACCTTCCACTCGACGAGCTTGGTTGGGATAGTAATCTTCCACTTCTCAAAGTCGATTTTGGGGTTTGGCGTATTGAAGTGCATGTTCGGGGGGATACAGTTTTTCTCGAGTGCCATTGTGGTCTTGATCACACCAGCAAGACCGGAGGCACCTTCAAGATGGCCAATGTTTGTCTTGACAGAACCGACAAATAATGGCTCATCACGGCCGGGGGCAAAGACAGCACCGATGGCCCGGGTCTCAATAGGGTCTCCGGCAGCGGTGCCAGTGCCATGAGCTTCAAAATACTGAGTATGGTTGGGATTCAAGCCAGCTCGCTCATATGTTGATCGGATCAACTGCTCCTGGGCAACAGAGTTTGGGAGAGTGATGCCATTCTTCTTACCATCATGGTTAGATCCAGTAGCACGGACAACAGCGCGGATATTGTCACCATTGGCGACGGCATCAGACTTGCGCTTGAGAACAGCGCAGGCGATGCCTTCACCTCGGACGTAGCCACTTCCGGAAGCATCAAACGCCGCACAGCGGCCGTTGGTGGAAAGCATACCAAGGTCGGTCATGGTGACAAACACGTTGCTATCGTAGTGCAGCGAGGATCCAACAACTATGCAGATGTCGGCTTCACCATTTTGCAGGGTCTGGCTACCGAGATGGAAGCAAACAAGGGACGAAGAGCAAGCGGTATCAATGGTGACACTCGTACCGTGGAGATCGTAAAAGTAGGAAATCCGGTTGGATAGGATAGCGTCACCGGTACCAGTTACCTATATCAACACAAGGGGGTCAGAAGTCCAAGTTTTCGAGGACAAACACGGGGTCGAAAAGTAAGACGTACAGTGTACTTTGGATAGTATTCCAAATCCTTGGTCAACATGGCATTATAGTCATTGGTAAAACTTCCGCAAAATACAGATGTCAATGAGCCTCGAATCTCCTGAAGGGTGATTCCAGCATTCTCGAGGGCTTCATAGACTACTTCGAGAAGCAAACGCTGCTGGGGGTCCATGGCCTCGGCCTCCTTTCCGGAAATACCAAAGAAACCCGCATCAAAGTTTCCGATATCTTGGTCGAGAAAGTACCCGAAACGGGCATTAGTCTGTTGACCAAACGTGTAAGTATACTGCTTCTTTAATGCAAGGGCGTCGCTCATTATTGGACTTCACATACTGTGCCCTTATGGGTGGGCTCTGGGTGGAAAAAACTATCCACCTTCAGCCGATCCTCGGGCATCTTCTGCTGAACATCACGCTGTTCCGCGATGCTCTGCCAGAGCTTGCTGGGAGTGTTGGCTCCAGGTACACGGCAGGCAAGGCCGACTATAACGCTGGGGTCATCCGCACGTCCATTGATTCGGGAAGCCATTATTAATCAGGTGAATGGGTTGAGCTTATTAAACTAGTATAAATTCGCAATCGTGTCTAGACTTGGCCAAGGTTAATCGAAGACTAAAGTGCTGGAGAGTTGTATAGATGTCCTTGGGTTTTGAGGATGAATGGGACGTTTCTATAAAAGAGTATTTCTTCAATAAGAAAGAGCGTTATGCTTCCTGGATCGTCTGTTAAGGGCCTCGAAACCTCGGAATACGTCGTTGCTGAAAGTGGAAGGCTCAAAACCTTCTTTGTTACGAACCAAAAGCGGCATCAATATTGCCCTATGTCTTAAAATGGTTATGTTATGGTACAACACCGAGGACTAGCAATTTTCTAAAACTGTAAAGAGCTGGCTGAGCTGTTGAATAGAAGGTTGAGAAGATGCGAGCGTATCGGGACACCTCAAAACAATGTAGTTAGGACCATCTTTTGTATAAGAACTTGACAAACAACTGCGTGACCCACGAGATGTTCCATCTTGGTTTCTATTGCTCCTGCTTTCATTCATTGGCGGTGCATCCCGGAGCCGAAGATGCTTGGTTTCAGAGTGGTGGCTCCGGCACCATCCGGAGCATCGTCACTATCACGATGGCCGTCACCGAACGGCTCCGGAACGCGACTTTGGAGTTTTTGCTAGTGAAAACTATCGACAGGATTTCATGGGCCCGTGGACACCCTGGAACGTCCATGCCAGGAACTACGCCTGTTTCGTTTCCGTGCCATAACCCGGGTAGCCACGAGGCAGAGAGCAAGGGTCTTTAGGCACGTGTCTGCTAGCCACTTGATCTCGGAGATGTCGCAAGGTTACGGCAGAAGCCCCTTTAGCCTCGTAGGGAGGAAATCCCCTAAATCAGGTCCTTGCGCCAGCGGCATCTGGTATGGTGACGAAGTGGGTGTCTTGATAAGTGAGACGTAACAAATGGCTGGCCTTGACGAGTCAAACCAGCGTGAAAAGAGAGGTACTTACCGATACCACAGTGACTCGGGGTCGGAAGTACCTCGAGTTATGCAGGGGTCCAACATGCTTCGGACAAGGTTCTCTCAAGTTTCTAGCTTCAGGTACGCAGACAAGGGAGGGAAGCCACACCCAGCTTGAGCTGTCGCACATCTCCCTAGTTACGTTCGAATTCGGCTCACTCACTACTTAATCATCTAAGTGAAAATCTACTTGCAGTTTCTATTGTGTTTCCCTCAATTGTGTAGCATTGCAACTCGTCCTATGTGCTCACGTCTTTGCTACCCTCGCTCAGCTCCCCAACCCGTTTCACTAAACATTCAACCATCTTTTCAAACCGGCGACCGTACCCATGGTACCGTTGGAGCCAACAGGGCAAGCCGATGTGGACTTTGATGACCGTGGGGGCAATTTGTCACATTCGCCCGGTGATCTAGAGACACTTGTCAGTCATAGTCAGCCCGGGTAGCAAGTAGGAATATTATGCGACACACTAGGCAACCCACAATACTCCCTGTGCAGTTGTAAACTTGTTATTTCAATTGACATAGACTCATTCGATAACCCGAGAAAGTGTTGGTGCGAACTCGGATAAGCCGCTTCTAACACCATCCTGAGCCGAATTGGGGGGCACGGAGCTTAATACAAAGTCCAACAAATGTCAAGCAACTGTGCAGCCTGTTGGTCCTCGGCATGCATCAGCACGAAACAATCCCTTGAGGCTTTCGAAATGCTATCAGTCACTTGAGTGCGGAAACAATTCGCCAGCACAGCTCGGAAGTTTCCACTGGCGAATGCTTCCATGAAACAAAACGCAATTGGCCGTAGTAGAATTACACTTGTGCAAAAGATGGCTTGGAGAAATACTCCAGTTTTTGTTTCATACCTTCACATTACTGTTCGCCTTGCCGCATAATCTTGTCCTGCGTTTGGACATCCTTGCTTGCCGCATCCTGTCCTCCACGTGTGGCAATACACGTGGCAGGGGGTTTGTATTGTAGATACTCCTCAAAATAGATTTGATTTAAACCCCCCATGGGGTGCAAACATGACTTAGGTGTAAACTTCGCCCTTGCGTGCTTTTTAGTGATTACCCGGCGCTGACTGCTCAAAGACATTGGGCGTGATTCTTTGCGGTGTCGGGCAAAAAGGTTACCCCGGTGAACTCGTATCAAAGCGATTGCTAACAAGTTTCTTCTTCGGAGAAACCAAGTTTCCTCTGACAAGCCCATCTGCAGGCAAACAGCTAGGCACCCTGGTACCATTTACGACACCAAGACTCGAGCAGTCTTCTTGACATTGTGAGCAGGCCATTTACCCGATGGCAATATTGGGGGCCGGCCGTGGAGGCTAACACCACATGTACAACACGGGGATAGATAGACAGACCGGCAGTAGTAAAGACGTAAAACAGCAACATAGTGCAGAGGAGCACATAATCTTTCGAGGCAATACCCTTGCATTGCATAAAAGCATAACAATAAGAGAAGTCCTCACAATATCGCAGAAGACTGGAATAGTTGTCAGCTAGACCATCTCAATCTCACAGAGAATACTAACTCTGGACCACACACTGTCATAGGAAACAGAGAACTTGGAAGTACTCGGGCAAGGCTGGCATATTGCTTTTTTACCCTTGAGATCTGATACAAGTTACAGTAAGAGACACAACTCGTGGCTTCAAAGGCTACTCCGGCGTCGTAAAAGCCACAGTTGATCAAAGTATGCCTTAATGGCCGCTTTCCGATGCATCTTTTGGCACCATATTTTGGGCCTACCCGGAGTCTCTCTTGTTCACACTCCCATCACCGCCCTAGAAAGCTTGATTGAGCTCGGGTGAGTCGTCCGCAGTGGCACGACGAGCCTCTGCCGTCGCCACCCGGGCGCAAGACACGCAGCAACACAAGGCTATTCTGCCTGTGCTAGCCTCAGCTAGGTCTTCAGGAACCTAGATGGATCTGTAGTCAGAAAAGAGACATGGACCTTCGCTTGTCATGATCTGCAGTTGGTAATCAACCCTTGCTCAGCCCATCGAGAGACGAGGCTTTCCGAAAATAGCCTGGGGCTTCTTTCTGCCAGTAGCATTTTTGCGGATGACAATCGGATGGTTCGTGGTGCGACCCGCAAACATGCTATTACCTGGAGTGTGTTTGTTCCTAAACCAGGGTGTATTGGATGAGGGCATCCAAGTGTGGACAGCAAGGCGAATCTCGTGGCTGCGCTCAAGACGGTGGTGTGTCGCCGCCAAGCCGATGGTGCTGACAGACAGACTCCCCAGCTCCAGTAAAGGATTCGCCGCTGTTTCAAGTTCTGCTCAACTGAATTTGAGCAGCTGAGGTGATGCATACAAGGCTTAGAGTGCGGGTCAAATGGCCGTAGTTCAATACGAGGCGCATCGTGCGTGAACGCGGCGTGTACATGATGGATATAGACATGGTTTACTGTATGACATTGGAAGTGCCGCGCCTCCACCGAGCTTATCCTTCCAAGAGCCTGCTGAATCGACTGTAGAACTGTGGAGAGCGAGGGCACCCCTGAAGATTAAGCAGGCAAGTTGCGTTTCTTTGAGTTATAGTCTTTCTCTGTAGCAAAACATGTTTGCCGAATAAGTATATATACTAATATACTATAATATATTATAATGTTGAGTATAATAGCGAGGTGCCGAATCTAGTCAAATAATGTTCACCTTGTACTCTATTTGAACCAAAGTAGTCAACTTCAATCCGTTAACGTACACGAAAGCGCTGCCTTAAACACTCGGATTCGTCAAATGCCGGTCAAGAAGCCCAAGCATAATACGGCGGGGTGGGGGAGTAAATTTTTTTTCATTTTTTG